AAGGAGAAGCATGGCAGCCCCTGCTCCATTTGTTGTACTAGCACTAAATACTTGTAAGAAGTGCAAGAACTTCAAAGTATACATTGTGTCACATAAAACTCCTGTTGGACTAAGTTTACAGTAATTGTAAAATTATATCTAGTGGTAAAGGCGCCGCGCTATCACCGCGGAGACCCGGGTTCGATTCCCGGTCAGGACCACTCCCGGGCAGGTGGAGCTCGTTAACCCTTAAAAGGCAATCCACCTACGTCCTAAGGACCTCGCTGCCACTGTCCAAGCTCGCTTGGCCCCGGCAGATAAACCTTAGGATTAAAGGGTGGGCTCAGTTCCGCGCACACTGTGTCTCACCTAAAAAAAAAAAATCCAATGCGCAGGCTGGAAGGTGGAAAGACCTTCCCCGGATCTTCGCTCGCGAAGACTGGCCATTATATTATAAAATTATTAATTGTATTTACCTCTGAGAGTTTTTCATACCTTATTCTAATTAAGTAACAATTCTTCATGACCTGTGGGGTGTGGTTATTCTTTTTGAATGTAGCCAAACTTGCTGTTAAAAAATGTATCTCAGGGCCCTGAATTCCCCAGCTCTGTTTTTAGTGGCTGTTAGCACAGCGTGGCTGTTGGTGTGCCTGTGTCTTATGGCAGACAGTGACAATGCACAGAGATGAATGGCACTGTCTGTATTATAGTCTTACTATTTCACAAGGAATCAGGCCTAGAGGAATATCCCTGTGCTAGTCAAGAAATGAGTTTCTCGAGTTTTCATAGATGTGCATGGTATTAATTCCTTACCCTTAATCCCTCGCTTACAAAGTTAATTTCACTATTTAAATAGTTTCTGGTCTCTTGAATCATGTCAAAACACTAATAAGAACACACTTTCAACAGTGCATCTGAGCCCATTCTATCACCGAAAATGAAAATGAAAAAGGGCAAAATAAGATTAGAAGGTTTAGAGTATTTCCTGAAATTTTGATATGCGAATTTTGTTGGATGCCTCAGCAATGTTTGGGACAGAACTTAATTTGTGCAAACTATTTGCTAATCCCTAGTCTAGACACTCACATTTCCAGTGCCTATTCATCTTTATTTCTGCTTTCATGTAGCACTTTCTTTTTTTTTTTTTTTTGATCTATCACAGAGTATCAGTCATAAGGAACTGGGTTCTTCTGCTCCCCTAACTCCACCTTGTAGTTCCAGCCTCAAGCATGGGGATAGAGGGTGTGTAATTACATTACCTGATGAACTGTAGGGGTCTGTGGTGCCCCTATTGAATTGCATTTACTGTTTTCAGACTTTTTTTCCCACATGTTGAGATAATTTTGAATTCTAATCCTGTTACCCAACGTGTCTGACGTTTTTTCTGGATTTCCTATGGATTTGACAAATGTATTCTGAATATCCAAGGTACTTATGAATATACTGAATGGTGCTGGATCCAGAACAAACCCTTAAGACCTGCTCTCACCATAGCCCCTCTGCTCTGGCAGTGAACAGCTGATAATTCTGCTCAGACAGTGGTTTTCCAAACCGTTTCCCTCATTCTTCAGTAGTTTCACCCAGACTACTAGTTTTCTAGCTCGCTAATGACAACATCTTAACAGCCCATCAAAAACCTTCTCAAAGTCATGAAGTATCTTATCTCTTGCTTCTTCACACCCTTGAGCCTGATTACTCCATCACAGGAGAAAATTGTGTTGGTCTGACATGATCGGTCTTGACAAATCTCAGTTGGCTCCTATTTATTACCTTGTTATCTTCATGGTGCTCATAGGTGAATGTTTGAGTACTTGTTGATTATCTATTGATTAGCTGCCTTTCTGGAAACTGAAGCCAGGCCCTCCTAGCTATCATCCCCTGCAACTTCCCTTCCACCTGTTTGAAGAGAGCACAGAGAGATACTGTCTGAGATAAACTACTTAACTGACAATCAATTCTAAGTGCTCTTTTACCACTGTTTGATGTATAAGCTAGTGAGAACCACAGTATCTAGAGGAATTACTCCTGATAGTTCAAGGTTAAACATAACATGGCCTTGAGGTCACTAGTTGAGTCCCTGCTCACTCCCCAGGACTCTCCCCACCTTGCCCATGGCCCAGGATTCCATGTCAGCCCCCTGGAATTTTTTCCACCCTACTCGTGGCCAGGACCCCAGGTCTCTTGGCCCCTGCCCCAGTGACAGTGCAGTTGGGCTGGTCTCCACCTCCCAATAGCCTTGCCTGGCAATGGGCCCAGCCAAGGCGGGCCCCCATCCCATCCTCAGCGAGGTGCCCAATACCCAGGGCTGGGGCTGCCCTGGTGCCCCTCGCTGGTGCCCAACTTCTGGTTGGGGTGTGGGATGGTCCCTGGCTGCCAGACCCTGCTCCACACCATGAGGATTCCCCAGCCCTTGCACCGCCCTGAGAAAAATGTCTCCTGAAGATTTGTTGCCAGTTCCAGCATTTTCTAGTATGTTCCTGGAAACATAAACCAAAACCAGCTGTTACTTTTCAGGGGGCTCAGGGAGACATAAGTAGCAAAGGGCAAGTGAGTGACTGCACAATATTTAAAAGCATGTGATAAGCTGGGCTTTTGCTGCAAATCAGTGTTGTTTTCCAGGGTGAAAGGAAAAAGAGAAACAGAAGCTAGGCTTAACAAAACTCCTGGTGTGATTTAGAGAATGAAAACATTTCAGTTTTCAGAGATATGAATGTAATTATTTTCCTCATCATCCTAAAAATACAATTTCAAGGGAGATTCTAGGTCATCATCATCATGGCTAGGCTTTGTGAACGAAGGTTTGAGAAGGGCTCTGCCCACGCTTGCTACAAGCACACTGATGGCTAAAAAGGCCAATGTGAGATAGACAAGTCCGGCTGCAGAAGGCACAGCGGAAGGACTCCCCAGGTGGTATCGACAAGGCATGATTCTTCTGCATTGTCTTTTCTTCTCGAGAGTGATCCTGCGTGTGTTCTCAAAAATTCTAGGCAGCAGGCTGTGAAACCAGCCACAAAAGTAACTGAGATGTTACTGTAACCCAGCTTACATGCCTGGTTGTGGTGGAGTTGCAGCTGTGGCAGCTGCAAGGGGTGGGAGAGGGTGGTGGCCTTGGGAAGGGATGGCAGAGCAGGGCATTCTCTGCCTGGAGGAGTGGAACAGAGGCAGACTTATCCACTGGAGTATACCTATATGTGTCCTACACCATAAGCGTAGGGTTAGTTGTGCAATGGTTGAAGGAGTTTCTTTATGTTGAAAATAGGAACACTTTTTTTTCCCTATGAAAAGACATTTCCTTTGTTCTTGTACGGTAAGAAAGGGAAATCTGAACATCATGCTGACCTTGGCTGTATTAGGCATAATTTTATGGGCCATCTTCATTTTTTTTCTGACTTCATTCATCTTCTCTCCAAAAGGAATAGTCCTAGCCTCTAATTTCTCTTCATCCTCCAGTAGCTTCCTTCCAGAGACAGGCTTGACAAAACTTGTGCTCTGGCCATGGCTGCTGAGCTGTCACTGATTCGAATAATTGTTCACAGTGGTTTCAGTTTTCTCTGTTCCATTTGCAGTGCACTCACTTTGCTGTATTTCCCATCTCGGCAGACCGAGTGCAGGGTTTCATCTGAGCGTTCATTTCATGGGGATGCTCAGATCTGTAACCTGAGTGGTCATGGTTCATTTGAAATCCATCAGTGGACATGAGTAGTTCAATTTGTTTTTTCTAATGTTCATTATCTTGCACTTCTCCATGCTGAATTTCATTTACCATCTTCTTATCCAAGTGTCTGGTTCTCCTAGGGCTGTCTGCACTGCAAGGTAGCCCTTCTCAGAGAAAGTTAGAGATATGTAGGTTTTTCTAAGCACTCTCTTGCTTAAGGAATTTGCTGTGGTGGTGGATCTCTTGAATTCTTTCCCAACCCACTAAGATGGCTCAAGCAAAATGCTGTGTGACACTGGGGACCATTCTCTGGTCTCTTGCCCTCTGTAACTCCTAAAAGGAGCCCTTTAGCAGAGGGAGAAATGTGATCAAGCCTGGTATGAGAGGGTATCTGAACTATTTTACATGGAATGATCTCAAGATCTGAGCATTATCCAGTGCTTTGAGCGAGACGTGTATGTGCCAGTATCTGCCTTTTGCGGCAGTTTTAGGGAGCTCCAGCACTCCTTTGCACAAGGCTAGGAGTATTTTATGGCTTCTTCATGATTTGGTCTACCAAATGGCTACCACAGAGAATTTGTTAAACTACTTTCATTGTATGAACAATCCCAATTGCTTTATAATCCAATATTTTAGAGTTTGAATGTTGTTTCCAACCAAATTCTCGTATCTGAGAGTTCAGCGTGGGCCAGAGCTGTGCCTGTCCTCTCCCCTGGTGACCCTAGTGAATGGTTTTTAGGTGCTGGTTCTGCACTGACTCTATGGCCTCAGAAAGCCGGAGGAAAATTAGGGGAGGAGAGGGATGGCCCAGGCGTTTTAACTCTCATGGGGTACTGGCGACAGTTGCATGCAGCTTCCAGTTGTATCACGGACTTCTGTGAGATTGGGAAAATCTGGGCAAGGCACAGCAGGGAACTTGTTAAATTGGCTGCCTCTGTGTTTGTATGAAATAGTGATTGTCCAAAGGCTGAAACTGCTTTTCCTCAAAATACTGTTTCAGCCACCTTGCCTGGAGACTGCTCTCAAACATGCATCTCTTGGAAGGATTTCCAAATGTCTGCAGCCTCACACATTCTGTGTAACAAGTGCTAAAGGGAGTTTGGCTCTGCCTCTGCTATCAGGAACAGCAGCTTTCATCTCAAGCTCAGTCAGCAAGGATAGTGAGGCCTGCAATTTTCCTCAGAGAAGGCAATTATAAAATCCAATCTGTGAGGGTTTCCTGCTCTCATTTCCAAGCTCTTGCCTATCCTGTCTTTCCCCATACCTGAGCCACTTCCAGATATGTGGCAATGTCTGAACTTATTACTGACGTCTAACCATGTGTTGGCTGCTCTCCCTGATGCTCTGATGCTTGTCTCTGCTCTAGATGACTCGAACTCCCCCAGGAGAGAAGAACAGCCGGAGGGCTTTTGATGAAAAGGCTTATTTGTCCTCAAAGCTGCTGAAGGCTGGAGAAGACCCCTACCGCCAGCACGCTTTTAATCAGCTGGAGAGCGACAGACTCAGCAGCGATCGACCCATTCGGGACACCAGGCACTACAGGTACCCTGCAGCCCTTGCTATAAGCCATGGCTGCTGCTTGGGGCAGGGAGACCACTGTCCTCCGGTGTTGTTCTGCAGTGTTGACCAGGGATGTTTTGGGTTTTTCTTTGCCAGCATTGGTCCATTACTTCCCTAAACTGGATGGTTAATTTGGAAAGGTCTCAAATGCTCTGAGACCCTTGACTAATTCAACCCCAGCTTGTGACCTTTCTAGCATCTCTTTTTCCAGGTCCAAGCATTAACTTTTTTTTAGCACAGCTCCTCCATTACAGCTCATATTGCTCATCTGATGGTTGTTTTTTGCACAGCTCCCCTCACAACCATGGGTTCCCTCTCCTGGCTGCAAAGTATACCTTTGCTGCAGTGTTGCTTTGCTCTAGTGTTCCTCACATGCTGTGCCCTGGCTGTCTGAAGCTGGTTTGGTGCCTTCTTTCCAGCCTGAGCATTACTGTTTGGGTGAAGGCTGCTGGGGTGGGGATAAAACTAATGTACAAGTACAGTGTTTGATGGCTTGCAAAGTTCTGTTGTTCTGTTGTTATTTCAATGGGGGTGAATTTATTCTGCTGAATAAATTCATCCTTAAATTGCTGATAATGCTCAGGTAATGTAGTTTCTGGAGTACAAAAAGGCAATGCTGTATCTTGAAAAGTGTAGGTTTGATAGGAATAGGATAGTGCCAAACAGTCTGCTTAAGTCCTAGACCCTGTCTATGGTTGCAAAGCAACATTTCACAGCTGCTGGGAACAGGAAACCAGGCATCTAACTTGATTGAAACTGTGAAAGGGATTTCGGGAGATGTGGAGCTTTGTAACCCTGCCAGCACTGACAGCCATCAGAGTCCTTGTGAAGGGAAGCAGTCAGGACCTTGGTTGTAGAATCCAAGTGTTCCCTAACACAGTACTTGGGATTCACTTCCTAGTGACTTGGAGGCAACAGTGCCGTGTCCTGTGTTACTGACAAGTCTCCCTGCCGTTCAGAATTGCTGTTTTCTGTTAATCTGCTGTCATGTTCTGGCTGAAAACCAGCTCGCTTCAAAGATGAATTATTGTTTATTTTGATCTGCATTAGCATTTAGAGCGTGCTTTTTGTGCAAAGCCTTATCTGTGCACTTCAGTCTGAAGAGCAACACATATGTAATCCCCAGCAAATGTATGGCCATTTCAGACCCAGCTTTGCAAGGATCCCCTTGAGCAATGGGGAGTCCAAAGTATTATATAATCAGAAAAAATAAACCTATTTCCACGTTCCTCCCCTTTGCAGGAGTGGCAGTTGGAGAATAAGGGAACTGTGTTAGAGTATCTTGTAACAATATTGGAATAGTTGCTGGGATGGCAACTCAGGATGAAGACTTATTTCAACTGATAAAAGTTACATTGTGTACCTGGCTCTGTGTTTAAGGAATAGGGGGAGTCAGTAGGTCACTAACATGCTAATTTTTCATCAGGCACCCAAGCAGAGCACAGACATACCTGACTCCACATCCTGCCTTAGCATATAGCTGCTGTTTCTTTGATCCAAAGAAAAGACAGGGTCAACTTTCGAGTGCAAACCTTGTCCTTGTCCTCTGTGGTGCTGTAGTAATGTTGAAATCTTTGGATGACTTCCTCAAATAACACATACATGAGCCTCTTCTACTTTTCCACTTCCTGATTTTTCAGTACATTTTTGTATGCGTTACATCATGGAGTTATTTTGAAACAATAATAAATATGGTATGTCTCATGTCTGGTCTCACATTTTCCACTTTAGTCTTTATCAAGGTTTCTTTATGTGTCTATAAATTGTTGTATGAAGCTGCTGCCCCCTTAATAAAACATTACAATGAAGAAGTCATAAACAGTAGGATCAAATGTGATGATAAAAACAGTTTAACAATAACATAAAAGAATAGTAAGTAAATGTGGAAATACAACTAGTGGCTCTAAGAAGTGATTTGTATTCCCTCTCAGGATGGATTCAGTCTATGTGTGGCCTTGAATTTTTAAAAACAGGTGTGGACTCTTCATCAGACAGGGAATTAGTGCTGGCTGACTGCAGGTTTACCCTGGCTGGAAGTTAAGAAGCCAGATACTTTGGAGGAGCAGGTCAGCCCAAATCTGCCATACTTAGCATCTGCCAGAGCTGGATTCAGGATTCATATTTGTGAGTTGTTCCCCTCACAGAAACTTTGTTCTCCACAGGGTATGAACAGCCCTGGTGCAAATTAATCCTTGGTTCTGAGTGTGGCAATGTATGTATGTACCTAACATTACAAAGTCAGATGGGAAGACGTAAGGAATTGCTCTTCATTGCCTGCTGAGCTGTTAGTCTGGAACCTCAGCAACTCCCCAGCACAGATCACAGCACTAGCTTGTGGTTTATTTTCTATAAAGTTCAATATGCAAAGAATTTGAAGTGCTTTATGCCTGGGTGTACCACCTCCATGCATCCTCAGCATATGCATGTCCTGTGCATGAATAAACAAGATTCTATGTGAGTCACAGGTAAAGGCAGGGACTAGAGTCCATGCTGTTAAATCTTTTTTCACTACAGAACCCACATGCCCTCTTTAGTGTGCACTTCTGTGGCCTTAGGTATCACAGCCTCAAAACTACCTTTTAACAGGCACAGGTTTTTTAAGTGCTGCCAACCTTGGTAGACGATCTGCTGAGGCCTCCCTTGCTGCAGTTCAATTGTGCTGTTTCTGATTTTAGCATATTATTCTCTTCTTAGGAGTTCTAGGTACATTGCTGCAGTGGCTACTGCTGGGTGATGTTTGTCTTACACTTCTCCTCTCCTGTGTTGCAGGTGCACTTCTGTACGCTATGACGCTGACTTGCCAGCTACCAGTCTCATCATCACCTTCCACAATGAGGCACGATCTACCCTGCTCCGCACGGTGAAGAGGTGAGCTCAGGAAGGGGTGCTGGGCCTGGATGGTGGAGTCAGGAAGGGTACTGGTGGAGAAATAGGCATTTTCCAGCAGTTAGACAAGCAGGGTGACTGCAGTTCCCCAAGTGCCAGTGTTCTAGCCTTCAGCTGGCCCACTAGGACAAGCCAGGGGCTTGAATTGGCAGTGTGGGCATATCTGCCAATATACAGAGCATATCTGCCGTTACCCACTGTATGGCTCCTAGCGGGGGAATCATGAGCAGCAGGAACGGGCTGCTGGACTTGCATCCGCAGGTGAGAAGAGTCTGTGTGAGCTTGGTTTGAAAGAGTGAAGAGGTACTAAAGAGAACACTGTGTGTTGCCTGATGCAGTGGGTGATGGAGGCTTAGGAGGAGGCTGTGTTCCATAACCAGAACTAAGCAGACAGCTCCCTGCTAGGGCACATGTTCCAGAAGCTGGGATTGGCTCAATGTGGGTGGGAGCACAGCTTGTAAGTCTTTCAAGCAGAAAGTGATGGACAAGTCTTGTGAAGACTGAGCTCTTGTGGTCTGAGCAGGTGCTCAGAGTTATTTGCTGATAAACAGTTGCTGAACCTGATGGCCCACTAGATCCTCCCTGGGGCTTTGCACACAGACCCTGCTGAGCCTGCAGGACAGTTGCTGTATTGTACCAGTGCCTCTTCATATCTGAGTATCAGCAGTAGCCAAATCTAACTATGTAAATAGGTGGCATAGGGCCTGTCAGCATCCTCAGGTAGATGGATGTATGCAATCATCTGTACTACAAAGCAATGCTGCAGCTGCTCCTTCACCCCCTTCTTCCATCACCTCCACAGAACCCAGGTAGGCTCCTTTCCTTTTAGTTTTCACAGAAGAAAATGCCCTCTGCCCTTTCTGACTTACCAAGTCATTTCTCAAAGGGTCTCTGAAGCCTGCATGCAGGTCCAGGAACAGTCTGTGGAGGCTGAAGGAAGAGTGAATTGTCTGTGTAGAAGGTTGAGCTGGTGATATCAGTAGCAGGAATGCATTATTCATCGTTTCTGCTTCTTTCCCCTGACAGGTCCTATGGACCTGCATGAATGTGCTGCGTGAATAAATAACAGGCTTTTTCAAGTTGGCCTCATGGCTAGAAGGCTGGGTTTCTGTCTGCCAAGTTTGATGCTACTGTGTTTCCAGAGGCCTGTATATATTGCACTAACACATTTTGTCATTTTACTTGTATCATTTCCTTTTCATTTGAACCATACAATGAGTTCTACAGAGTCACTGTTCAGAAAATGAGCAGAGTTGTTTGAAACCTTGGTGCTGCTAGGGCAACGGGAGGAGACTTCTGCTGATTCCATCATAGGTCAGACAGGAAATGGTTAGGTGCTCAGAAACCATGGTAGTAGGATCCTTAAGAAAATTTCAAGGCAGCCAGTTGCCATGATAGTTAAAATGAAGAGGTGACATTTAGAGCAGAGCGTTACCTAGAGAGAGAAACTGATATCCAGATCCTGTGGAAATAATGTGTACTAATGAGCAGATAAGCATCACCGGCACCCTAACAGGCCAGGCTTTCTCAAAGCAAGGTGAACTGAGGTAGGCTGCTCAGGGCTGTACCTGATCAGTTTTTAGTGTCTCCAAATACAGAGACTCAGCAAACTGTCTGAGAGTTCTCTTCTCTAGGATAAACAAGTCCATCTCTTTCAGCCTCACCTCATACATCTGATGCTCCACTCCCTTAATTATCTTAGTGGTCCTTCACTGAACCTGCTTCGGCATGTCACACTGTTTGTTGTCCTGGAAAGCCCAGAATTGGACACAGCATTTAAGATATGGTATCCCCAGTCTCTCAAATGTGGTCTCCTGCAACCCAGAGCTCCCAACAAAGACCTTGAAAAATGGATGACCCATCTGTTCAAATTGGTCCCTCCAATACTGCTTGCCGCTGGAGGAGTGCTGTTGTGAAGAACTGACTGTACTCTGCTGTGAATGGTGTAGTGGATGCAACTTCCTCCCAGACCTTTGGCTACAGCTGGACTCTTCATTGCCAGATGGTTTACAGCTGGTGCATGTGACTGATTTACTCCTTTCTTAAATCACATGTCAGAAATGTCAATAATTTATCCCTACCTGGTGAGGTATCCCAAAGGCTGAGTTCTTCTTGAGCTCTACAGTATTTGGAGTGTCACACAGCCAAGCATTGGCTAGGAGCCTTGCCTTTGAGGCACTGGAGGTTTGACAACTGGGCACAAAGGTAAAGGCTCAGGTCATGGCTGCACTGTTAGAAGAGGCATAGAGCTAAGTCCCATTTACAGGTTAACACTGGTGTTATAGAGGGATTTGAAGATTTCACTGTGCTCTTCAGGGCCTCTTCTGTAACTGGAGAGTCCTGTCTTTCAGCAAAACTCATCTGAATGTGCCAGGCTGAATTACTGCTGTGAGTGTAATTTTTGCTCAATTCGTATACACAGTCAGTGCACCAATACTATGTAATTACATTGCATCCCTTGCACTTTGGGATAAGTCAAGTATCAGAGGAACAGGACTGTTCTGTTCTGTTGGGTTTATGACCTGGCTGTGAGTCTGCAAAGGACCACAGTGATATTAAGTGACAGGAAGCATAAAATTGCACTGCCTGCTTACCTGCTGACTAGTCAGACTTGCAGCTTGTCATTATTTCTGTATCTGTAAGCGCTTTCTTAAGCTAGTAGGGCATGATTATTTAGAGAATTAGAATGAACCATTTGAAATGCATCTGGTGAAAGTTAAATATGATTCCACTGTTATTATGGGCCTTTTCTCAAGTTCTGTTATCATAATTACACTGTGGGGATGCTATAAGAGAAGTGGGGGTGAAAGAGGACAACTGATGGACATGAGCAGCACCAAATCAAATTTTTTTATGTCTGAAAACATTTTAAGAGGCCTAATCTTCTGAGGTGAGTAGAATATGTATTACCAATTAAGTTTTCACACTTGAGATCTTTGCTAGCCTGGCTGTTGAGTGCCTGAATCTGAGCTCTCAAAAACCAGCCATAAAACTTTGGGAAATTCTAGGAAGAAATACATGAAAAGGGTACTGGGATTGAACTGTTCTTAAATTATAAGTAGAGGGAGCCTAAATGTGCTCCCCTGAGCCAGATACTGGCTTATTGTGTTATTCTGACAGCTCTGCAGGGTAACTCAACAAAGTGGCAATGCTGGTACCATAATGTCTTGGGAAGTGACCCAGGGATGAGGCTCCTGCATTACAGTTTATTTCAAGATGATTTAAACATGGCAGCTCTAGAGGCCAGATCCTGATCTGCAGATCCTTCTTGCTAACCCCACCTGCATGTATGCACACATGGACCCACACAAACACTTCTGACAGCTCAGCAGTTGCTAAGCTCTCCTTGCTGGCTCTGCTGCTGAAAGGAAGCAATGGCAATGATGTGCCATTGTTGTCCCTTGAGGATGGGAGAAATGTTTGTGTATGATGGAGAAGGGGAAATAGAGGAGTGACTGAGAGGAGGAATAGGTTATTCCCTCCAGCATGCTGTTGCTTGTCCCTCCTGGTCTTTAGAGGCAGCATGGTCTGCATGCCTGTCTTCTGCTGTGGGCTCCAGCCATTCTCCTCTGCTCTAGGTGAAGGCAGCAGTCAGCTAGACCTGCTGCCCAGCGTGCAAGCTGCCAAAGGGACCAGGCCAGCACACCAGTAGGCCATTCTGCCCCAGATCTGACTAGTCCCATGCAGGGAGTGCTTCAGACAAATCTTGTTTATTTGTTTTCAGTGCAGACTGAGACAACTGGCTAAAAATATCCAGAAGGAGACTAAGAAGGGGAATAGGGAAAAAAAAATGGGAAATGAGCTATCAGACAGAACCTGTGAGCATGACGGTTCAAATGGCTTGTTGGTCGCATCCTCAGTCCCGCAGGAGATTTGTATCAGTCAAGAGCTGCTTACCTGCTTGATCTCTCCTCCTAGATAGGACATAGTTGTCACTTTCAAGCCAGTTACTTGCTTGGCATCCTCTTCTCTTTCTCATTTTCTGTGATTGATGTCTATGTGTGATTAGTCATTAAGCGATACCATCTCTTTGGCTGCAGTGACCATTCCCACAGAAGGGATAGTCAACTGCTTTGTTATCTGGTCCTTTTCTTTCCTTTTCTGATTTCAGTCACTGTTGCAGGGACTGTTTGGTTTTGGTGCAAATGCAAAGGTGAATGGTCAGCCTGTAAGTCAATGGACTCGAACAGCTGTCAGTGGTTCAGTGCTTATGCAGAGAGCCTGTAAAAATTCTGATTAAAAGGATGCTATTGCAGTGCTAGAGCGCTTGGTGTAATATCTCGTTACAATGACAATTGAGATGATGGCAAAAGAGGAGATTATTTTAGAGCAAAGGGAAAAAAGATCCTCTTCTGCTAACATCTGGAATAAACAGGATTATCTGTGAGCTGATGGGGGATGGACAGATCAGCAGAGGAGAGAAAGTCATTGGCAATGCTGATGTGATGTCATGTCATGCAAGAGGGTAAGGACACTGATATAGAAAGAAGAAGGAAGCTGTGAGAAAAGACAAAGTAAGAAGGGAATCCATGAGAGGAAGGGAGAACAGTTGGTGTTTCTGCTGTAAAATGCAATTGTCATTTGAATTTTGGAATCCTAATAATGTATTTTTATGCCTAGAACTAACTGATTGTCATGCCAGTCTCTGCACCTCACTAAAGAGGAATACTAGGATTACTGTGGTCCTTGCTAAAAAGACAGGCAAAACAAAGTGCAAAGAGGATTAAGTACCTTTCCCAAGGATCCACAGTAAATTATTGTAGAGCTGAGAGAAGAACTGGACATTGTAGAATGAGCTGTGAACTCCCCAAGGAGTGTGTTCTCTCTGCTGGGGAATCAGTGGACAGGCAAGGAAGAGGGAACAAAATGTTTGAGTTTTTTCCCCTAGATGTGTTGAGCTGAAAGACCTGAAACTTGTGAAGAAAATGTGAGCATTGCCAGTAGTGAGGCTAGTGGGAGAATGTGTGGAATACTGTTTTACAGCCATTATACTGCAGGATGCAGTCTGTCTGGATTGTTTTGCATTGGGTTTGCACAAACAAGAATTTCAGTGCAGGGCAGCCTTGTCTATAAAATATGCAGATGATGGTTGTGCTGGGAGAATCTGCACTTAAAATGGCAGAGAGGAACATCCCCTTCACCTCCCACCCCACCATATGAGAGGATCCAGAGAGGTATGTGCCAAGTGAAGCAAATGAGATTCAGCTTTGAAAAATGCAAGCTCAGTCATCTAGGGACATGAAAGCTCAAAATACAAATACTATCAGAGGCATATAAAGCAGCATAAATCTGAAATAGAGTGGGATGTGATACTGAGCAGCAGAACAGTCAGAATTTTGCTGTGTGATACGGCAGAAGACTCATAAACTGGAAAACTTTGGCTCTGTATGCAAAGGCATCAGTGATGTTACTTAGCAATATGATAATTTATTTCTCTACTGCATCATACCTGAGAGTATGGGATTAGTTTTGCTGTCTGTTTCCTCTATAAAACAAAAAAGCCCACAAAAGAGAAAAAAAGCCAGCAATCTTTCTGCAGAATTGCTCAAAATAGAAGAGCAGGTATCACTCGAGACAAGTTGCTAGAACTAGGAGAATAGTATTTACCTTTGTTCTTGATACTAAAATTTGCATAACTGTCCTCTACATTGGGGTGCCTAAGCATTACTGAGCAATCTTGTTGAAGTTAATGAGGACCTGCCTGCTCATAGAGGCATTGGAGGAGGCTTGAGGGGGGAATACGCTGAGTGATGGTAGTAAAGCCAGGGGAGAGAGTTTAAGTTCATGGAAAATGAGTTCAAACATTTTACAGAAATGAGAGCAATTAAGAGGTCAGAACCAAACTGCTCAGACTCCAGGGTACCAGAGTTCTTTGACCTCTGAGGAGGGCAGAAGCTTTTATCTCACCTTGTGTGTGATAGCTCCTGTATCCTGCAGATGCAAACTCACTGCAGTCCTGAGGGTATTTCAGGGTGTGGTGCAACCACCCTAGGAAAGGGGGTGCTTTCAGCAAGTGTGGAACTGGTTTGAAAGAAGTAAGAAGCAAAAGAGGAAAAGAAAATACAAATCCAGAATATTGCCAAGGCAATATTGACAATATTCCCTTCCAGTGAATGGAATTGGTGAGGAAGCTTGAACAGGGCTCATCTGCGGCATTGAGACAGAGCTCCTTGCTGGGGAAAGTGGCTGCTCTTTTCACTCTCCAGCAGTGGTGAACTTTGCCCAGAGCCCGGCAGATGGGAATGGCCATCAGGCTCTCCATTTCTCCTCTCTGTTAGGAGTCAGAGAGCATGCAGCATCATCCTTTGCTAGCTTGCAAGTCCCCAGTCAGCTTCCTGGCTGTGGGTCCTTGTAAGGTCCCACTGAGATGCCACAGCTCTCCGGGATACTCCTGCTTGGAGCTTGGTTCCTGTCAATTAATCCCACTACAAGGGCAAGGTCACCACTTCCACTTTACTGGAGTTTGGTATTCCTGCTGCAATGCATAGCATAGCATATTTCTATCAGTCTTAACATTGTTGTTGTTATGGCAGCTCAAAGTGTGTTTTTTTCCTCCCTGGGTTCCTGCAGTGTTCTGAACCGCACCCCTCCCAATCTCATCCAGGAGATCATTTTGGTAGATGACTTCAGCTCAGATCGTAAGTATGGATTTGCACTGATTTTTTTCTCTTCTGTTTTCCTGCTTTTTGTTTTCATGTTTGTACTGAAAATCAAGATCAAGCAAGCTTTTTCCCTTCTGCTCCACAGGAGGTTTCTGTCCTCCCTGAGCTCGTCCCCCACCCTCACAGATCTCCTCTTGTCTGTATGCAAGAAAAAAAGAAAAGAAAGGAAATTTTTCTGTGTTTAATGTCCACGCATTGCAGAGGCCAGAGCTTCTTGCTGTCTTTTTTCTTTACATTGGATCTTCCTTTCTTGTCAGCTTGGCAGTTTGGCCTAGGTTGCCAGAGATCTCTGTCTAGTTTCATTATGCACCATTTGGTGAGCTGATTAGCACAGATATACGTGCAGCAATGCTGTACATGTGCAGAGTGGGTAATTACAGATCAAGAGAGAACAAGAGGATGCAGTAGAGCCTACAGAAAATTGCTGCCTGGGCTCCTGCAGGCAGACCAGGGCATGACTGTCTGCCTGCCTTCACATGTCTAGGATCCTAGGTGTCCCTGTGGGAAGCTGTGGAAAGGTTATTGCTTTGGACAGCACCATACCTTCTTCTGCAGCTTGGCACAGGGATGGAGTGTCTACTGCATGAGTTCCACCAGATCTGCAGACTGGAGGCTGTGGACTCTTTCCATCTGTACAGTTGCTCTTGCTCCTGGCTTTGTAGTAGTGGTGAGGTGGTGGGGATAGAAGCCTTCTTGCTTCTCCCGTGATGTGTACTAGATTCAAGGACAATCTAGTTATGTACCATTTATAATAATTGATAATTACTCCTTCAGAACACTTTACAGATAGCTGCGAATGCCCACCTTGGCCTACTGAGGTAAGGAAGCAATGCTCTTTTGATTTTGCAGCTAAATATTTACATAGCTTTGGCCAAAAAAAAAAAAAAATTTTAAAGGTGGATGCTGAGATGAGGGATTTAAGTTTCTGAGGACCTTACAGTATGATTCGAATAAGTACTGAGCTGTGCCCAGCTGTAGGAGCTCAGTGTTTCTGAGCACTTCCAACAAACAATGCTAAGTGTTTCTACACTCAGCACCTAAAAATTCAGTTCTCAATGGGCTAAGTGTTCCAGATCAAAATTGATATATTTCTGGTACCTGTTCTGCACAGGGCTTATCCAAAAAATTGCATTTAGGCTCCTTGCTAAATAGAAAAATTTTTAAGAAAGCTTCATCCTATGGCAGCTCTTATTTTTTCACTTGCAACTGGATATTTATGGATATAGCCACTCCCCTGAGACACCTCCATGGAGGTACTTTAGCACATGTTTGAGGTCTGATGATTTGCTTTAATACCCACCTCAGTTTCTCCAAAGATACTGAGAGTCTGTCTTCTTTTGCAAGTAGCTGCAGGCAGAATGATGTGCTCCGCTCCTGCAGAGTGAATGAGTTAGTAAGGATTCTCATACCTGAAGTTGTGACTTGGCCAAGATGAGATCATTGCCTTCCCTTGTAGCAGAGGTCCAGCAAAATCGTGATACTCTGTGATTCAGAGCACCTGCCACTTCCTTGGACAGTGCAGCAGCTGCCAAAGTGCCCACATAAGAGCAGTATTTCAGATTGCAGTATTTCAGTATTCAAATCCTTGTACAGGAACATGCTAAGAGATGCACTTTGGGTAAGGACCTTGTATTCTCTCCAGAGTACTTGGTCTGTGGGAGGATGACAGCAGGAAAGGGGGGCATGAGACATGAAAAGGAATGTGGAATAAATGTGGAAACTGGGGTGAACTTGGAGAAAGAAAAAAGAGCAAGTTAGAAATTGTTATGACCTCTGCTAAGGCAGGAATAGAGAGCGGATGGCAGAGAACTAACGACTCAGTGCTTATTGGTACAGCTGGGCTGGAGCAGGTAACTGTTCCTCTCTGTCATCTTCCCTGGCCAGTGTAAATTAGAGATGCCAGGAGCTTCTGGCAAGCTGCCAGCAGAGCCCTCGATCAGGCATCCATGTGTTAATGTAATAGTGTCTCCAAGGAAGTGGGTCACATCCCTATGGTCTTTATTAAACAAAATCAAGCAGAAAGTGCCCTGAGAACAAATGGCAGGAAATGCCCAGATGAGCTGCTGAAGGCAAAGAGAGAGGGTAAGATCACTTTATATGACAGAACTCTCTTATCTTTGTCACTCTGGTCGTTTACATCCCCAGCTCCCTTTGTTCCCTCCATTTCATCAGTGCCCAGTGCCACACTGCCAGCACATGCCCCATTGTTCTTGGAGGCCTGGCTGCTCACGGGATTGAAGAACATAGGCTCAGCTGTCTGAGGAGGACAGCAAGCAGGCAGTGCTCTTCTGTGTACTCTTTAGACAACAGGATTAAGGCCATCAGGCTGATTAATGTGATGCTAAGTGAAAGTAGAATTTCCCCTCCCATGGAGAAGCAGGAGAATAGTTAATTGAGGCTCTCTGTTGAAGCCAAATAATTCACGCATGTGTGCCAAATGTGTTTTTTTGCCTTTCCTAAGCTGAGGACTGCCAGCTCCTTACCAAGATCCCAAAGGTCAAGTGTCTACGAAACATACGTCGAGAAGGTGAGTGTGGAAAGCTTTGTGCACACAAAGATTTTGCATATTTTTCCACATGATGCTGTTTGCTGTCAGCTGCTTACACGTTGTTTCTTATAGTTGCAGTTTGTTTTGGTATTCCAGTTTGGAGGCTCTGTGGAGGGAGAACATGGCTTGGCTTATCAACTCTCAGGCTTCAGAGCTCTCATTTCACACTTTAAATAATGAGAAGTGGTGTACAGAGGCCCTGGTTAGAACAAAGACCACATTTTAAGATCTGTAGGAATAAAGATGTAGGTGTAAATCCAATCCTTTTAAACTCAGAGTTCAAGATAACAAACCATGTAGGAGTGAGGGAAAAGGAAAAACAATCATATATCTGTCGTAAGGAGATACAATTAAGGAAAGCTTTTTCTCATGTCTCTTACAGGCATAAATGCTAACTCTGACTTTCTCAGCTGCCCTTTAGTTAGGCTTACATGTGCTGGTTTATTTCTAAAGCTGTCAGTGAACAGCAGGCCTGGAGTGAGGATCTAGAAGGAGAGATGGGAACAACTATTTAGTTCACAAAGAGCATCCCACATAGTGGGATGGTCTCTAAGGAAGTAAGGAGACATCTGAGAGCCAGGCTGATATCTCCGACTGCAGGGCAGAATAAAGGACAAATGGGAATAAAGCAGATAAGCAGTAAGAAAGGCAAAAAGAGAGAGTAGAATTTTGTCATGGGGAATTGGTAAGAGAGGCAGCAGGGTGCTCAGCGGGAGAGACAGCAAGCAGGCAGCAGCAAGGTATCTGTAGGGGAAAGAGAAGGAGCCAGATGAAAGTTCTGTGTCATGAAGAGAAACGATAGGAGAAGTCATTCTTTGTGTTCTGGGGGGCTCAGCTGACTGTCCCCAGGGGATGCCCTGCTAAAGCTGCTCTCTGTTTCTGATGGAGATGTGATATAGGAGATTCACCTGCTCTTCCCTTGTAATGGCCACACAAAATATTTATTCTGAAGGAGGCTCAACTGTTTCCCTTCCTAACCTTCCTGCTCCTTTGTTGTCCTTTCCTCACTGTAGGGCTGATTCGCTCTCGGGTGCGAGGAGCTGAAGTGGCTACTGCTGACATTCTTACATTCCTGGACAGTCACTGTGAAGTCAACAGTGAGTGGCTGCAGCCAATGCTTCAGAGAGTGAAAGAGGTGAGCACCATGTCCCCCTCTGGGATGGATGGAGCTGGCCTGAATTGTGCTGGTGGATCCTCTGCCCTCACATGCCTTCAGCAGTGCTGGTGAGGACAAAGCCTGCCAAGGCAGGCAGGCTGTTACAGAGGAAAGTTCAGTGTGAGCTACAAGGCAAGAGATCCCTGATGGGCTTCTGCATTCTGCCAGTGTGACAAGGCAGGAGTTGCAGAGTGATGGAATGCAATGGTGAACTCTGGAACTGTCAACTTTTACCTCATGTCTCCTGCAGCCATCGTGCTTCCTAGTCCTGTTTGCCTGTACGTAGGACAGCAACTTTGGTGGCATACACTGTGCAACTTTTCCATGGTTTCCATCTCTCTTCTTGCTGCTTATCAACTCTCCCTCATATCATAGGGACTCTCCTCTTTGCCTTGTCACTACCACAATTTTCCTTCTATTAATGTTCCTGCTGAGCTGCCAACATACACTACCTGCATGCAGGCGGCTTCCTAGCACAGAGGAGCTGCCTGTGAGTGCAGGGATGTCCCTTTGATGGTTCACTTGGCAAAGGATTGATGCGAGGCTGGAAGAGTGAAAATGAGGCGGAAATACTAGCAGCTGTCACCCTGACTGCGCTGTAGAGCTGGAGGGGGAGACATACAGCTCTGCTGTAAGAGAAGGCAGGCGAGAGGTGATGGGAGAAGTCAAGCCATGCTTGCAAATGGCTGTAATTGATCCCTCTGAAAGGAGGATACCGTGGAGTAAATGCGCCCCCAGGAGAAGGGGTGGAGGCTTTAACGATGCTTTGTGTCCATGTCTGATTGACTTAATATGTAGGAGCACAAGAAGGTGAAACTTCAGGATTGATAACTTCAAAGCTTCTACTTTTTACTCCTGTTCAATAAATTCACTGTCTCTGAATCCAATAAATGTTTACTTTACTATTGGTCTTTAAGTTAAGCTGCAGCAACAGTGCCATAGGGGTCCCTAAGCAGAAAGAACCTCACTAGTTTCTTCAGGGAAGGATCTAAATTGCAAAAGCTTGGGTGCTGACTCTAATATACTAATTTTTTAGTGAGCAGATTTCAAGTCAGCCTATTTCTGACATACTTCCTACATTTCTGATATGCACCCTAGTTCAGATTTCAGTCTTTCCCTACCCAGTCCTGGCGTTGACTGGTGGAGTAGTGGCTGGTGCACCAGGCTGCCAGGTGGGTGCTGGGGTTATCAGGCTGGGCACACACACTCTCACTGGGCAACCCTCACAGCACAGAGGGGAATAAACATGAATGATAACTTTCATCTAGGATGCCCCATCCTGAACAAGTGTGCTACATCAGGAGGAACTATTGCAAGGCACTAAATGAAGGTTTTATAGGAAAGGCATGGATGTTGGGAACTGTTTGATAACAAGGTGCTGTTTGTGGCATTTACAGCTCGGTTTCATCTTGTATGTCAGCTCTCACAAGACTGTCTTTAATACCCTGTGCCATGATGTTGAAAAACTATTCAACTTCTACTTACTAAAAGGATTGCAAAGGAAAACTTTGAATATTTATACCCCTCAATGGTGATAAAGTACTCACAATATCTTAGTATTGTAATTTATATAATGTATTATATGTATTATAATGTTTGCAATACGATTCTTAAGTGTAGGGTCTTGGTCATAGTATTTCTTATGAAGATACTTTATTAGGGGGTTGATAATTTCTAGGCTCATGATAATGAGTTAATTCAAGGATGGTTAAACAGAAAGTATGCTGTCAATAGATATGAAAAGCAAGCACAAAAATTTTGGGACTGTGATTCATGCCCTGTGACTTGGGCAGGAAGTAAAGACCTGTTTCTTAGCACTCCTGGGTGTCAGGGTCTGACTCCATTCCCCACATCCATGGAGTGCAACTGGCTAGTATCCACCATCTCCACGTTTGGATGTAGTGGCCATGGTTCCCTTGTGCAGCTACCAGAACCGTACTGGAGAAAGCAGGCAAAGATTTACATCTTCAGCTTTGTTTTGCACATTTTGTGTTTTCTGATCTCTGGCAGCTTTGCCAGACATTCAAGAAAAGCCTGATTCCTTTTTTTTCCCCTTGCTCTCTCTCCCTCAGGATTATACCCGAGTGGTGAGTCCAATCATTGATGTTATCAGCCTGGATAATTTTGCCTACCTGGCAGCATCAGCAGATTTGAGGGGAGGTGGGTATAATGAATGGCTTGTGTAAGTTAGGCCTGAGGGATGGTGCATGAAAAATAAGTTACGTTACCTTCAGCTTTCCAAGAAAACAGAGTGATGATCTTTCCTGATGGGTTCTCTGTCCTTTTTTCTCTACAGCTTCCAAAGTTTTTTGCAGAGTTAGAACAAAACTCAACTAGCGTTTTCCTCTTGAGCTCGCATCACTGTCATAACATTTTGCAATTTCAGGACTTAGTTAATTGATTAGATGTCTCTCGATGCCCTCCCTATGCTACATGTACACTGGAGTCTTGACAGGCACTTCCACTTGCTGCTTTGATCTGCCAGGCTATCTCGTGATATCTTCAAAGCATTTTCACCTCTCCCCTGCAGCTGAACCCCCTGCAGCTGTTCCTGTGGTCACCCCAGTGCCTAGTGCCCTTCTGCCTGTTCTGTGGCTTGCCAGCCAAGGGCTACCTGTTCTCTGGCTACCCTCAACAATGATATAAAGTTAGTGACTGTGCTGTGCTCAACTATCCACACAGGCCAACTATAAGTAGCCTTGAAAGAGGTGATATTTACAATGATCTTCAAGCCTTTGTTCCCAGAGTACATCACATCCCACTTTATTAAACCTCATAACTTTGGCAGACAGGGAAGTGTAAGGCAGACTGGCTGAAATACAGTTATGTTTCACGCTGACAACACTCTCCTAAAGATGTGGAGTGAAATTGAGGAGGGGTTTGTAATGCCAGGGGATAACAGTGCCAAGACAGAAGCTGGTGACATCTGTGTTAGGATAGACTATTGCCATTTTGGGTAGACTGTGAGGGTGGTCAAGGAAGGAACAAAGGGATAGCCTGTGATGTAAAGGTAGAGACTAGCACTGAAGCTAGTAGTATTGTTTTTACAATAACAAGACCAATTTGTCGTGTCTTTTTCCTTCTCAGGGTTTGACTGGAGCCTTCACTTTAAGTGGGAGCAGATTCCTATAGAGCAGAAAATGTCTAGAACAGACCCAACTCAGTCTATAAGGTAAATGTCTTTGATGGACAGGGTACAGTCTTCCAAGTGCCTTTACCAAGCCTTCACCTGTATGACAAGGAGGGCACAGAGGCTACCTTGAGGAGGACAAAATGCCAGAGAGTTCACTTAATGATGACAAACTCTTCATGTTATTTTCTGAATGTATTGAGGTTTATACCCTAACTGTGAGAGTGTTACTCTCTGAATATTGTAAGAACAGGAATTATATACTATCATGCATGCCACCTCTACAAAACCACTTCTTCTGTTTGTTCTTGTGGTCTCCCTCACTCAGCACACTGAACACCTCAGAAATCCCCTTGGGGTTTTTTAATTACCTCTACCTTTCAGGTGAAAACTTAAGGAATGAAGCAGATAAACAGTTATCCAGCAGGTGTAAAGCAGACTGGAGAACTAAATCTTACTTAATAATGCGGGCACAGAATTACTCTTGCCTTCTAAATCTGCATGTTGATGGACAGACGAGAGAGTTGTTGCCAGCCTCACTGCAGTGTACATGGCTCTGAAACATGCAGAATGTAACAAATTTTGATATGAAAAGTCACGGTGCTTGTCTGTATAGGCAGAAAGCTCCACATTGTAATCTAAAAATATCGTTTAACTCCTCTGTGTAATTTGTGAGCCTCTGTTTTGCACTCCAGAGGCAACTAGCTTGGTAACAGCAGAGCAATACTAGCAACAGCTTGTCACACTGTGTCTAATTGGTGAACACAGTCATCAGACAGTGCCCCTGTCATTCCTTCATACTGTGAATATTTGTATAAATGCAGAAGACACAGCATTACACTTGTAGTGCTTGCAGGACCATCTAACAAAGGCACAAGAATGATCTAGTGAGTGGGATATCAGAAGCCTGCTGCAGGTTCACTTCCCAACTCTACTGTTTTTCTCTTTTAAATGAGGTACAATTTATCAGGCTGTCAGTTGTCTGCCCTCTAAAATTAAGCTTGTGGTGTTACATATACATGTGATTATTTTGTGGGCTTCTGTTTTCTCTTCCAGAACCCCTGTTATAGCAGGAGGCATCTTTGTGATTGACAAGTCCTGGTTTAACCACCTGGGAAAATACGATACTCAAATGGACATCTGGGGAGGAGAAAATTTTGGTAGGTATAGGGAAGTGTCATTCAAGGGAATGACACACTAATGCAGAACCTCTTCCCAGTCTTCATCACTTACCAGAATTCCTTTTCTAAGAGATCTGATCTGCATGTCAGTGTAAGGTTAGGAACATGGCCAGGTAATCCCCATGGTGGTTGGAGCTATTACTGCTGTCAGTATAAAGTAAGTGGAGACGTTCTGCACTCTCTGTACACTCTCTTACAGGCATATGTGCTATTGTACTGGTGCTTCCACAGTACAAGAAAGAAGGAGGAACCTCCTGAAATTTAAATGGTTGCTTCTTTTTGGAGAATATTCCTCCAGTTCTTCATATGAAAGTATGTGTTGCTCCAGCTCTGAAGTGGACAGCCACTCCTACAGTCTCTTATACCTGTTCCTCTCTTGCAGATAAGTCTGAGTTGGTCTCCCAGCTTGACAGGTCAGAAAGATATTTTTCCTATTAAAACAAGTGTCTTTTAAGTGAAATTTGATTACAAATAGTTTCAGAATGCAAATGTTTAGAAGCAGACTAGGACATCCCAAACATGTAAGGAATTCAGAGGCCCAGTGTAGTCTGTCCACTCAAGTGCTGTTATAGGTCTTGGTGCTTAAACCCATCTCCTTGCACTTAATGGTGGCAAAGATATTCTAGGCATCTGTCTTTGACCTGTGTGAAGGGGTGCTGCAGTGTCACCAGGTGTTAGTGACAAAAGCAAGAAGATGCAAAGAGAGGTTCAAGAAGACTTCAAGTATTTGGGGCATTCATTTAGAAATGGTGCAGGTGGAGCTGAAGAGATAAAAACCTTATGCTGTCTTGCACTAACTTAAGTAGATTTTTCTGTAGCTAACACTGCTAAAGAAAATTCTATTTCTACAGCTTGCATAAATGTCACAGATTTGTAAATAAAACCCTTTAAAGAAGAATTTTCTAGCACCTGGAGAACCAATTAGGAAGAACAGACAAGTCAGGAAGAGGAAACTTTTGTTTCTCTGAACACAGCTGGGAGAACTGCTTGTTTCTGAAATGCTTTCTGAAACCAGGAAATAATATTTTGGGCTGATAGTGGAATATCAAAGTACCACTTTTAAAAACAAAATATCTAATTATGAGTGCTTGTGTCCTCTGTTTTTCCAGGCCTTGCTTCAGTTTTATGATTTTCATCATATTAAAAAGAGAGATTAAATGGGGCTGGCATTGGGATCTCAGCAGTGCTAGTAACATCAGCTAAGCACTGTGTCAGGAAGCCTTTATCCAGGCATGAAGATCCCCTCTCCTTTGTCCCTTGGACTCCTCTGCACAGCCAGCCTCAGCTCCTTGCTGTCACTAGCCCCGCTCCAGCTGCTGAGCCAGCTACTTGGACATTCTGCCAGTCTCTGAGCTGCAACTCTGTAAAAGGTGTCAGCCCCAAGGATGGAGAAAGAATATTTCTTTAGGTTTTTGTTTCTCTGCTTCTGCCCGCCTGGGAGCCCAGTGTTGTTGTTTGGTCTGTATGTTAGTAGCATGATGATACGCAGAGTTCTCTGCCATAAGTAGCAGTAAATTATCTGCACGCTCACAGCCATTCTTGCAGGTAGAGCTGTTCAAAACCTCCACAGAATTGCTTCATTCTCCTTGAAATTGCTCTTGTAAAGCCTGGCAGTGGCTGGGCCAGGCTGCGTGAGACTCAGCAAGATGTACAGGGCTTGCCAGCTTTGTCCTGTTACATGGTTTTCCTGTAAATTCTGTGTCCCATCACTTGTCTCTTATCCTGGGTTGAGCCTGTTGCTATTGAATGCAGAGGGATAGAAACCAACCTGTATTTGACAACAAGAAATATTAATTTTCCCTGAATAATTCAGAATGGTTAATGATTAAGGAAAACTATTGATAATGTTCTGAAACACTATTTTACTTAAAACTACAGTTTTGAGTGGAAAGAAACTGTTTGAGTTAGGTCATCATTTTAGATGAAGTGGTAGAGGAGTTCTGACTAATTTGAGTGGGTGGTGGGGCCATTCTCTGCCCACAAAGGCCATTTCTAATAAACTTCTTTGAAACCTTTTTTGTGTGAGGAAACAGGATAAAAGAATGTATGGGAAGGGCACAGAGCTGGATGAGCTCTACACACACAACAGGTACACAGAAAGGATCAGGCAGCAATTACCAGCTGCTTAAATATCCTTCCCAGCTGGATGTGAGCTGGTAAATCACCTTTTTTCCACTGTGATAGGAAAAGCCACAGTGATTAAGTAATTTAGAACACATATAGACTAGGTCACATCCTGAAAAATGTACAGCAAAAAGTTCTATGTTTTCCATCAGAGGGTGGATGAAAGTTTTTAATAAGCTATGTTTGGTCTCCATTTTCTCTGATGTGTCCAAAATCTGCATTCTTTTGCCTCTTCTTTAAAGAGTTCTGTCATTTACAAACCTGGACATGCAGTCTGACTATCTCAGATGGCATGAGAAATCCTCTCTTGGGAAATGGACAAGACCTTAAGTTACACATACTAGACGGAGAGTTATATTTTTGTTGTAGGCCAGAGTGAGTCAGAACCTCATTCCAGGAGAGCAAATGCCAGCTGGACACGTCATCAGACAGAAACTTATGTCTTGGGCTTTTTTCTCCTTTGTTTTAAAACCCTTCCTCTCTTCAAATCTGGAACTCCCTGTTTAGAAGAAACTGAAAATAATGAACTCTGGAAAAGAGACAGGGAGAGGCAAGAGATAGTAAGAAATGGCACAATAAATATAATAAATATATAATATTTACTTAGAAGCTAGATGGAATACACCACCTTCCCCTACCTTCCAACTTACTGTTTAACAACCCCTCTCAGTGTGCAGAGAGGAAAGCAAGGGAGAAAGATGAAGGTTGGAAAGATGTTAGTGTGTATATGTGCTTTCAAACATACATAATTTCTTTTTAATTTCTAAACATCAGAGCCACATACTTCAGGCATTACTGGAGGGAGATCCCAACTGTGTAAAATTTTTGAAGTAATTAGTCTATACAATCTGAAGCTGTTTTGGTAGGGACTACCAAACTACCCAGCTAATTTTCATTTTCCTTCTTCCTTCTCCTCTTCTCACCACCACATGAAATGCGAGTGGAAAACCCCTCTGGTGTGGCAGTGATTAAACCTGCGAGGACAGACTCATAAGCTTGAGCAAGGTCACATATCTTCTGTGATGCAAATAAGTGCCTGTACATCAAAGCTCCGTGTTCTTCTAATCCTTTAACAAAATGTTGAATTTAGCTTCAGGATAGGGTGGATTTCTTCAAGTAGCAGGATTCTCTCCATATTTTTATAGTCAAACTATTAGACTCATATCTGCTCTGAGCAGCTTCCCCAGCAAAGGCAACTGGTGACAAACTGTAACAGTTATCCACTTCGTTTTTATTTTCTTTGTTTTTGGGTTTTGTGTGTGGTTTTGTTTGTTTGCTTTGTGGGTTTTGGGGGGGCTTTTGTTTGGTTGGTGTTTTGTTTTGTTTTATTAAATTAGAAATAGACCCAACCAGAACAAGAAACCATTGTAGGATGGATAACATAGAGGTATTAGGGAGAGGACTTTGCTCTAGACATTGAATCCCTATGCCCTCATCTTGTTTTCTTCTTTGACTTCTAAACGCCCTTTCTTCCTCACATTATTTGCTTTACACAGAAAATTCTTCTTTTTTTAATTCTGTCTATGTGCAGGGAGGAATGTTACAGAAGTCCAAAACAAGGTGGGTGTAGGAGATCTCACTCTGTTGCCAAATGCCATCCTGAAGGCGTGACAGAAACCTCAAGGGCCTGATCAAGTGCAAAGGTGTCTCACTGAAATGCTCAGGGGACTAAAGAGGAGCAGGACTAGAGAAGGCTAGGAAGTCCCTGAGCCACAAGGGTTGCCTCCATTTTAACAAAGGGAGAGCATTCTCCACTCTCACCATGGCATCGCTTTTCCTGATTTTGCTGTTGCAGGCAATACATCTAGAGCGGAGGGGCAAGGAAGTTGCCCTTCTTGGAATTGCTGCCGATCTGCCTGCATCTGTATGACTCTTGGGGTCTCTTCCAGAGCTCTCTTTCCGTGTGTGGATGTGTGGTGGCAGCTTGGAGATCGTTCCCTGCAGTCGAGTGGGACACGTGTTCAGGAAGCGCCATCCCTATGACTTTCCTGAGGGCAATGCATTGACTTATATCAAGTAAGTGTTGAGTAGTTCCTGGTAGCCGGATCACCTTCATGTTGGGATGTCTAAATAAGCCTGAATTCTTTGTTGTCTTTCTGCCTGGTAACAGAGAACAGCTTGTGGCTGAGCATCTGTTCTCAAGGGAAGGATGAGTTGCTGTTTTCTGTGAACAAAACCTGTTCCCTTCTCTGTTGTTTGTATTAGTGTGTCTTGTTCCTCCTCAGTCTGCAGTGGAGGGGGGAGCAGTACCCCAGAGTGAGGCTCTGGCTGTTCATGGATACTGCCCTATGACATGTGCCTGTGTATTGGCAGTCCTTAGTCATCTCTGTTGTCTCTGAGCTGTATGTGCTCTGAGAGAAGCCCTGAGGACAACTTCTACTGCAGGACAGATGGGAAAGGAAGAGAGATGAGACAAAGTACTTGACAATGAGAGTGGTTAAGCATTGCTTCAGGGCTCCAGAAAGACGGTGAAATCTCCATCCTTGGAGATTTCAAAACTCAACCAGTCAAGATGCTGAACAACATGACCTAATATGAAGCTAGTCTACTTTGGGCAGAATGTTAGGTGTTAGACAGAGATGCATTCCAAGCTGAATTATCCCATGGTGTTATTCTAATCTGGGAAAAGGGATACTGTAAATGAGTGGGACGGTGACAGTCAGGCCAGGTGTCACTGCGGAGGGAGTACGCATGAAAAGGTCATGGTAAACTATGGCTACTAAAATTTTAACTTCCAAACTGAAGCGTTCTTGCAAGGCATTGTAGACTTAACACATTCAATTTCTATCCATCCATACTGCCCACTGTGTTTCGTGTTTGGGACCATCCCCCACTCCTTCCTGGCAGAGAGGCCTTAGTTCTGCCCACCCAGTCAGTGTCTGCTCACAGGGAGGGCAGGGTCTCCAACAGCACTTAGCAAAGCATCTCCTCATCCCCCTGCAGGAACACCAAGCGCACAGCAGAGGTGTGGATGGATGAATACAAGCAGTACTACTATGAGGCCCGGCCATCTGCTATTGGGAAGTCGTTTGGAAGGTAAGCTGCCCCCAGACCTTGGTAGGAGGGCTCTGGTAAACCGCTTGGTAGCAAGAAATAGTTTTTAGATCTTCTCTGGGGCTAAGTGTGAGAAACAGAGATGCTCTAAAAGGCTAGCTTGCCAGGGAGGTTGTAGCTTGAGTGTCTGGCTAATGAGGTTTTCTTCTAATTCCCTTTATTTTTTCCCCAGTAACTCTGCATAAATCATTTCTTAGCAGAAGGCCACAGGGATCTGTGATGAAATTAAAAGACCAGACATTTTAAGTGGATTGATCAGAACATTTTTTTAACACAACATGCAGCAGTTCTGGAAATGCGAGCTATGCAGTTACTAGAGCTTGATCTGAAGTTCTTGTGCAGATGCAGAATCCCAGGGCAAGCACAGCTGGCTGGCACATGGGGCAGGTTGCACTTGGTGCACTGCCCTCTTTCCTGATGAGTGAATGAGTAGTTTGCCTGGTTTGTAGGGAAGGAGAGAACATGGCCAATGGTGAGACATGTCATTCAGAAACAATCTCTGCAGAACTGTGCTCCTTACAGCACCTTTGCTAAAGCTGTCTTCAGGCCACATGGGATTCATTGTTGTAGGCTTAACTGTTCCCTGTGACCCAGAAATCAGTGATGGACACCAAAACCTGGGATGAGGGGAGAGCTTGCTCTCTGTGCTATCAAACCCCTGTGACTCCCAAATAAATGTAAAAATCCCAGGAGTTCTGTAAATCTGTGGGTTGTATCTACCTGTGAACAAATGGCTCTTGTATCAGTGTAAGGACTTGGCAAATGCGGTTGTATCTCAAATGTGTAGCTATGTGCACTGGGTAATGATGCATCTCCTTCTTATTTGATGACAAGCAGGTCACTTTTTTTTGCTGTATGTTGTGCTTTATTATCATGATGCATTACATATCTTGGTACAAATAGCTTTGCCTGCCTAATTTATCTGTCCTTGAACTGACTGCAGCAGCTGGGCTGGGGCCAAATAGCAAGTAACCCTGCTGCTTGTGAGGGAAACCAGACTATTGCATTTTGTATGTGGATATATTGCTCCTGTGTTTTAGGGGCAAAACCTGCAGCTCTTGTTCACGTAGACTTCTAGCGACTTTACTGGCAGCATTGGCTGAATAAGAGTTGGAGCAAAGCATAAAGCTTTGATTTCAGGCAATTTCTTGACCTGTAGTAACAATCCTGTGAACTTTAATCTAGAACCATTAAATCTAGATTTTAGAATGCAAATGCCTTTGACACCATCACTGACAACTGGGCCTATAATGGACCCTCTTTCCCCACAGTTTTGGTAGATACAGAATCTAAGTACATTTTCCTGAGGTGTGTGATCTCATGTATATATACAATGGCCTCTGTGGGCTGAGGATGGCAAGGTACATAGTACAGTTGAAATTTGTTCCAACACACAAATGTAGCGTTACAGCTTGAAGACAAGAGCTCCTAGTTTCACTGCTCCCACAATGACAGAATATGCTGAGTTGGAAGGGATCCACAAGGATCATTGAGTCCAACTCCTGGCCCTGCACAAGACTATCCCCAAGAATCACACTATGTGCCTGAGAGTGTTGTCCAAATGCTTCTTGAATTCTGTCAGGCTTGGTGCTGTGAACACTTCCCTGGGGAGCCTGTTCCAGTGCCCAACCACCCTCTGGATGAAGAACCTCTTTCTAAACTTCCCCTGACTCAACTTCAGGCCATTTCCTCAGGTTCTGTCACTGTCACCACAGAGAAGAGATCACTGCCTGCCCCTCCTCTTCCCCTCACAAGGAAGTTGTAGACTGCAATGAGGCCTCCCCTCAGTGTCCTTCAGGCTGAATGGACCAAGTGACCTCAGCCCTTCCCCATACGGCTGCCCCCAAGGCCCTTCATCATCTTCATTGCCCTCCTTTGGACACTTTTAACAGCTTAATATCTTTCTTACATTGTGGTACCCAAAACTATACGCAATATTTAAGGTGAGGCTGCCCCAGTGCAGAGCAGAGTGGGACAATCCCCTCCCTCAACTGGCTGGCGATGCTTTGCCTGATGCCCCCCAGGACACAGTTGGCCCTCCTGGCTGCCAGGGCACTGCTGACTCACATCTAACTTGCCATCGACCAGGGCCCCCAGCTCCCTTTCCACATCACTGCTTTCCAACGTCTCATTCCCCAGTCTGTACAAGCATCCAGGGTTGCCCCATCCCAGGTGCAGAATCCGGCACTTTCCCTCATCGAACTTCATGTGGTTGGTGTTTGCCCAGTCCTCTAATTTGTCGAGGTCCCTCTGCAGGGCCTCCCTGCCTTCGAGGGAGTTAATAGCTCCTCTGAGTTTTGTCATCTGCAAACTTTCTCAGTATCCCTTCCAATCCTGTGTCCAAGTCATTTATGAAGATGTTAAAGACCACAGGGCTTAAGATGGAGCCCTGCAGAACCCCACTTGAGAGTGACTTCTTGAGGGAAATCCTCTTCTTCAGCCAGCTAAAGCCAAGTAAATCAGCAATGAGAAGACTGGTGCAGCAGACAGTTACTGAGATGTTGAGTTAGTCTCTCAAACGTGTGTACCTGACCACACTCTCTAGGCCTTTTCAGCACCTGGTCATTGTGCAGCTTTCATGATATGCCTCTACAGGGGCACCCAGAGGCAGAAGTGCTTTCCTGATCCTGACAGCAGTTTTACTGCAGTGTTTTATTTAACAAGATAGGACCTGGGCCCTGCCATCACTCTGAGCCAAATGAAGTGCAAGAACAGCTTTCTGAAGGTGTTTATGTCTTCCATTTCTATTTCCTGCCACTTGCCTCTCTCCTTTTCACCTCAGGTCACTGCTAGTGCTGTGAACCCAACAGCTTCGTGGGAGAATGAGTAATGGCAAAAAGTCATATAATCTCCCTCAAACCTCCTGGCCAATCTTCATTGTTCCCCTCCCTCCTGTTCACTGCCTTATCCTCAACAACTGCCTGTGTTTCCAGTGTTGCAGACCGAGTGGAGCAGCGACGCAAACTGAACTGTAAATCCTTCCAGTGGTATCTGGAGAATGTCTACCCTGAGCTCAAGTGAGTCAGTTCTTCACTTGTAGAAATCTCTGAAGGATTTGGGAGGTGGGTTACAATGAGAAGCTGAGCCTTGATGGCAGTGGACAATGGAAAGACTTATGCTTGGAAAAGGTTTTCCTCAATTCTTCTTTTTGGTGAGAAACCGCTTGTTTTTCTGGCCTGTATCATCACAACTCTGCAAAAGGTTTGTTGCTCCTGCCTCTGGGAGCCTTCTGCTCTGCCCAACATGGCTGTCCCTTGGAGATGTGCAACAGTGGTGTTTTCAGAGGTGCAGGATACAGACAAGTGCCAGAGCACTACATCCCTCCCAGTTATGACTTGATCTCTGCCCTTTGGATGCTCTGCCTGGAGGTAGTTGAGCCAAGCAGAGCTGGACAGCCTCAGTGCAGAGGTGTGGGTGATTCAGAGAAAGCTCTGATGAATGCCTGTGGCTTTCCCTGCCCTGGGTCAGGACACAGTAGTGTTATGTCCTTTCTCAGCTGGGAGGTAGCCTGGGTAAATCTCTGTTAGTACATGCTATCCAACACACCTTTACATCTCAATCTGTGGCTAACATGAGTGGAGGCTAAAACATCCAGCTGTAATCTGGCTTTGACTGATCTTAGCTGGATCCCCACCAATGAGACAATGAGTATGTGTTAGCAGTGGGGAGAAGACTGAAAAAGAGGAGGCAGAAGCTGAAAAGACTGAAGAAGGGGGAGGCAGAAGCAGGTAAATCAGTGTGGATGTAGCTTCTTGCTGGAAATGGCCTCTTTCAGAATTTCAGAATCAACACATTAAACTGGTGGGGTATACGTAAAGATCCTGGTATGCCTTCTGAAACAAAAAGATACCAGTCCTTTGACCAAGTTCTCCCTTGACTTTTGCCTCCCCCAGATATTTCAAATGGATAGCATAATATTGTTCATTTTCTGTCAAATATAGGAGACTGTGTTTCAGTCAGGGGCCAATTAAGCCCTTATAAATGTGAAAGTGCTTTGGACATTTTGAAGTACCATGCAACTGTCATTTTACTTCAAGGATTCCTGAAAAGGAGTTGATTCCAGGAATAATTAAACAAGGTGGAAACTGCCTGGAGTCTCAGGCACAGGATACCACAGGGAATATATTGGCTGTCATGGGAAACTGTAAAGGGACAGTGAACAATCCACCTGTCACTCAGGTAAGGCAAGCCTCATTTTGGTGCTTTGCTCCTGCTTCTACCCTTTTTATTACCTGAGAATGAAAAGGCATTTCTGGCCTTGGTGGGTTTGTATAGGGATGAATGAAGCAAGAATTTGGCTGTTTGGAAGAATGATTTTAATCACAAGCAGAAGAAGAAACTGTGGCCATCTCTTAGAGCTTTGTTGGCTCAACAGACTCAGCAGTCAGGCACTGAGTAGGAAGTTCCATCACTCAAAGACAACAGGTAGTCCTTGAATGCCCAGAGGGGTGACAAGTCTGTGCAGTAGATGTGCAAACAGAGTTTAAATCACGTAGCTGTTCCCATTCGGACCATTGCTTGGATGTGCTCTGCTTCATCATCCAAGACACCAGAATCGTTCCATGGCTTTTCTTGGCTACTACTTTATCATGTGGGTAAGAGATTTTCCCAGGATCAGAAACATTCCTTGGTCTGCCAGTTCAGCTGTGGCTGAAGATAACTTGAATTGTGCTGTTTTACAGATGTGTTTCAGTATAAAGCCCAAATAGAGTTTAAATATCTAAGATCCCAGCTGCAGTAATATGGTGCAGCTCTCCTAACAGCAGTGGAACTGTACTGGTTTATGTGAGCTGAAGATCTGCACTCAACCTCTTCTTTTGGTGATTAAAAGCAGCAGGGAAGCAGCTTGAGCAAGTTAAGGGTCACAGTAGGATATTTTATGCCAGAAAACACATATTCACATCTGTTAACTGTTGGAAACTAGTTTTCAGCCAGCATTCAATATGCCATTTAATCTGACTCATTGTTCCGCGTCATTACCATTTGAAATCTCTGAAATTTACTGCATTTTGTATTTCTTCCTTGGGGAAAGTACAGTAATAATAGTTGATTGGGTCAGGCATCCATCTAGTCAGAGATAAAAATGAAGCATGTGTGCTGATGATACAGGGATATGCGTGCTTGTGTTTTGCTTCACTTGACAATCTATAGGTCCAGGATACCTGTTACAGAACATGTCTGCTATAAAATGTGCAGAAGCAGTTGCATGTCTTGTAAGTCAGGGCTCGGGGTCCTCCTTGCTTTGTAGTCCTGAATCTGTAAAGCTGCAGAGCGAAGAGTTTCATGGGATCCAAGGTTAATCTGACATCTCAGATGGTGAGGGGAGCTAGCTGCAGGCTTTGAAATGGTCATGGTGCACCAAGCCTGAGCATAAACTTCTGATCAGGTGAAGACTGCTGTGGTAATCTTCCTAGGGAGCCTTTGGTAAGAATAGAACAAAGGATAGAGGGTTTTTTAATATCTGATGGAAAAAACTCTCTCCCTCATTTGATCATTGTTGTGATCCTAATTGAACCTTTCTTTTTCTTATTCCAAAGGAGTGGGTATTCAGTGACCCTCTAATTAGACAGCAGGACAAGTGTCTTTCCATTAACTCCTTCTCTACTGGCTCTCAAATCACACTGGAAGCCTGCAATCAAAAAGATGGCAGACAGGTAGGTGCACCTGTTTTTAATCCCTTCGTTGCCACATACCATGTTCCTCCATCAGTGCAGCCAGTAGGGACAAACCTAGTACTATCAATGCATATAAAAGTCCTTTCCATCTCCATCTCTGATATATTTCATAAGCTTGGATGTATGAGACTGCTTTCAATCAGAGCAGGAAGTGCAGTATGTGTGTGTCTGCTCTGCTTGGACCCTCAGCAGCATATTTAGCTCCAGCTCAGTAGCACCCTAACCTTGCTTCTTGGATATGTTGATGTGCAGCCAGATTGGTGCATGGATGGAGCACAGCATCAGAGAGAGGTAGGTAAAGCAAATGCTTTGAGAAACCTAAGGGAACAGTGGTGTGTGCTATCATCTGTTTATTTATTTAGAAGTGAGAGAACTGTGTTCTTTGTGCTGTCTTTGGACATGTTGAACAGACCTTTAAAACTGAGTGTGTGCAGCTCATTTGAGAAATGCTGACTGATATAAAGCACCGTATGTTCCACCCAAACTGCTCCCTAGAGGAAAAATAGACAGCAACAATGTTCCCAACGAAATGCAGCTCTGTGACTTATGGTGTTTCCAAGATGTGCATCCCTGATCTGTCAGGACAAATCAATCATTTTGCCTTACAGCATTAGGTGAGAGATGGCCTCTGCAATGGCCAGGGTGCCCTCAACAGAGATGTGATGTGCCTTTTTATCAGAGCTGGGCAAAACACAAGAGGTGACAGCACAACACTGGCAGACAGCAGATTGAGCTTTTTTCACTCCTAGTCGCTGTGCTTCCCTCTACACCAAGAGAGAACAAATTTTCTGTCATCTAAGGCTATGCTGACTTTGTGCTTTCTGACATGTCTGTTGTTTTGATAGTCCAAAGTTAGGAGAGCTTGCTACCAGTCCTCAGCACCCCCTTTGTCAGTACTTTTTAATGCTGTATGGATCCTTGAAATTAGTACTTCCTGAAAGAAAGCACTGAAATCCAGTCCTGCCTGTTTATGGAAAACCTGTGTAGGCTTTCCTCTGGAGGGTTGGTTAATGCAAAAATGTCTTGAAGAGTTGTCGCCATGAATACACAGGGAAAACTCTTTAAGTTTGGATTAGTCTGCAGGGATATCCCAGGTGGGCTGTGCTTCCCTTCTCCTTTTTGTTGGTGGTAATCACTCATCCCCTTGCTGTGTAAATAGGTCACTTAGCTTCCCCTTATGTGCCTTGCAGTATTTTCCTCCCTGGCAGCAGAATGGACCCCAGCAGCTGCCAAAATCAGCTGTCTTTCCTTGTGTCCCCTGTCATGGAAGGATAAGGGTCCCTCAAGGAGGGTGGAGTCCAAGCCCTGTCAGCCAGAAGAGAGATTAATTCACAGTAACACAAGCAGGCTTATTCTGGTACTGGAATAGGATTTATTGAGTCTTGATGTGTGGATTATATACAGGCTCATTATAAAGACATGCACACATACTTAAGGATGTGAGCTGTTGTTTTCCATTACCTTATGTGAACAAACTGCACTAAAATCAAGGACTTGACCTAGCAGATGATTTAACCAATTGACTGTAAGCAAGAATTTTGTTTAAGCATTTCAGATAATTAGAGACTGATTTGAATTACAGCTGCCATCCCAAACCATCTTGCAGCTGAAGGGATGAGGTGGGAAAAACGCATTTGAATTTTTAATTTAATCTGGGTTGAAATGCTCTTAAATGTCGGGGTCTTTTTTGTCGTCCCAAACTCCCATTTCAGATTTCTACAAATGCTGAAGTTTGTTGTGTTCCTGGGGAGTGTTGTTATGGTTCTTCCCTTCCATAAACACAACCGAAATTGTTGCTCACACTGACATTAGATTTTAATTAGCTAGAAGCCAGTCATCTGGCAAACTATCCCATTCTCTCTCCTCCTGATATTTGAGAGGTTGATTTTCAAGACAGAGCAAAGATGGAGGAAACAAATGCCCTCAGCTGCCCTACAACTCGCCTATCTCCCCATGGATACTCACAATCCAAAGTGCAAATACTGGGGGAGAGCAGTGTTTCCAAACTGCAGATGGGTGTATCCACTTCTCAGTTCAAGTGGGTTTCTCAGAAAGTCAGAGGAGCTGAGTGGGGAAAGGGAGTTGAGCTACTTCAGAGACCTGGAAGTGACAAGCCAAAAGCCCTGAGTAGGAGGGCTAAGTGGAAGAGTGTGAGCCTGAAAACCATGCACCACAGGGACAAAATCCTAAGAGGAGATGGCAGCATAATGAAAGTCCGCTTTAAAAATCTTTGCTGTCACTGTCATCAGAGATCTGTGGTGAAAGATGTTTGGACTTTTCTGGATCTGGATTTCATGTCTGTGTCTGAGTCATGAAAAGGCAAGATTTCTGACAAAAGATGAGACACATGATAGCTTTGTTTTTTAGTGTCACTGGAGTAGACTGGTTAGATCCTTATGACAGCACCATACAGCTCCTAAAGTTGGTTTCTGCTTTTTAACATACTGAATCTGTGCCCCTGCTACACAGCTGTTGTGCATTAAGCATGTCCACAGGGCAGCTAATTTTGTTGTTAATTTGGAGTGCTGACAACAGTCCCATCTAACATATAACTAATACTCTAGCAGAGCCCTTAGACTATTATGAGTTGTGTCTAGGGTATTACCTCAAAATAAGTCTGGAATTTTGCAAGCAGGAGGATATGAGACAATAGTTAAACTTTAGATGGTTTTTGGTTCTGTCAGACTATTCTCCCTTGGGTTGAAAGAAGTCAGAAATTAAATCTATTTGGCACCGTGATCGCATTGATCATTCAACAGCAACAGCTGGCAGTGCTAGCAGAAGACCAGCCAAAAGCTATTCTGCATAATCAGAACTGGATTTCTAACCAGATGGATATTATCTGTAATGTTATTTGGGAAATAGAATTTTTAGTTGAATGCACAATAAATTATTGCCTTTAGCTTTATTTTTGGCTCTGACTGACGGTGGGAGTGGCATTTTAATTTGTATTGTAGTGAGGACAAATAGAAGGCAAAGCAAGAGTCAGACACTAAAACAAGAGAATGAAAAGAGAAACATTGGCACAGTATTGTCCAACAGAACAAGAAGCATGCTGAGAAATCTCATTAAACAGCTATATTTCATTAAAATGTGCTGAAGGAATATGACCTCAGCTTGAAAATGAGGACACCAAGTTTTCTTGTGAGACAAACAGTATTTGAAGTCCTGTGTCCCTTTGTATACAATTGGGAAATTTTTCCCACTTTGCTTCTCAGTCTGTCATGTTATCTGAAGTGAAGATTAATGTAACTTTATATGGAGTATCAGAAAAGAGAAGGAGGGAAGGCCTGTCTATTCTGAAAGCACCTGACTCAGCATCTTCATGATAATAAGTAGGTAAAACAATACTGGCAGTATGCCACAGCTTGAAAGCAGTTTTCAGGAGACAAGAGTTTGTCTCAATTGTGATTCTTAGTTTTATAAATTTAGGTGCTCAAAGGAAGACAGTACTTGCTGGATTCTGGTGTGAGCTTTTTCATCAGATTGTCTGATCATACATTTAAAATTTAGTGTTTGTCATCTTCAAGACCAGCTTTGGGCTGCCCGTGGCTCTGCAAATACATTCAATTGCAACTGTAGCATCCTTGGCTATTCCACTTACCAGGTCTCCATAGATTTCTGTCTGAAGCATTTCAGTCCTCATCAGCAAAATCTGCCTTTCTCAGCTGTGTTTCATGGTTAGGATCTTGAGAGAACCCCTGGATTGCCTGGATTATTGGGGGTTAAAAGAAAACATTTGATTACCCTGAAAAATTACACTAGTGTAAACAACTTCAGCTCTTGTATATACTGGGGAGAAGAGGACTGTCTGTTTCTGACTTTTCTCTTGGTAATTGCACAAAGAGTGCTTCCATCCAGCCACAAAAGTACTTTGAAATGATAAATAAAAAAAGATGGAGAGAGATATTTACCCAAAAAGTGTGGATATTTTTGGTTGACACTGGGGAAGAGGATCAAGACAGTGTTTCAAAGAAAATCTGGATTTTTCCCTCCCCCCCTTCATCTTCACTCCAAATCTACTCTGACCAGTAAACTGTATTACCTTCATCTGCACAGGAAAGGGAGACCAAAGAGGATTTTCAAGCCAAAAATCTTCAGATTTTGCAATGCTTGTGTCTTCTAAAAGCTTTACTTCCAAGTCATAATTTCTTGATGTAGGGGAGTAGAGGACTCCCTGTAACATTTGGCTGTATATGCAGAACGTGTCTACTCTGTTTATTTTTTGCTAAAGAGGGGCATTATTGGTGCCATTTAAAAGTTATCTGTCCAGGCTCCCCTTATGGTTTGTGGAGAAAACGGGGCTGTGCTAGAAAGTTCTTGTACCTTGGAATCCTCCCTAAGTATGTCACAAGGGAACTAGTTTAGACTAAGTTGCCCAGTTCTGAGGCGGCTGACAGTGGGAGACGAGCATCCTACCTCCTGTTTCCACCCATTCCTACTGCCTGCCCTCCTCAAGGGTCTGAGATATGATGTGTCCCTGCAGGGCAGGATGTTGGGCTGTCTTTGGTAATTCTGTGGTCTGACAGTCAGACGGGGGGGTCTTCTGAAAGGTTCAGGTGAAGTCAGGGGGGTTGCTTTGGTATCTCATGAAGGGCAGCAAAGCACAGTTTCTGACCAGAAAGGGTAAAACCCATCATTCTGAACATACCACTTCTGTGTGAGATGAAGAACCCTACTTTGGCTTTTACTGTTGGTATGTTTTATAACAGCTTCATAGATGACACCTCCCTGCAGCCCAGGTAAGTCTTATCTTCAACTCTCACCTTCTCAGTGTTTCTCCTCCCCCTACCCCATCCTTGCCCCATTTTATTTTGAACAAGGGAACCTGGGGGTGACTTGAAATGCTGCTCTTTCCAGTGGTGTGATTCACTGAGAAGCTGATTGATTCGGTGTAGTTCGTTAGCAGCAGCAGATGTGCTCTGGTGAGTGTTTGCTGGTGTCCCACTGTGTGGCTGCAGACTGTCCCTACAAACTTCACCGCTGCAAACCTGCTCAGCACAGACTGATGCCACAGCAGCAGGTCTCTGATCTGGAGGAATAAAATGAGCAAGCCTTCAGTGGTCCTAGTTTTCTCCTGAACAGCTAAAAGGAAGAAGAAAACCAATGTCCCTCAGTAATTGCTCTTGTACCCATCTCAAATCTCATACTAGCATATTCTTTTACAGCAAGGTCTTTTGGTGAGCTATGGGGTGTGTGGGAGGCACAGCTGGCAGATGCTCCCTAGCAAACACATAGGGGAAGGTGAAGGAGGAGACTGGGAATTCACAAATACAGAGAGGTGGTGGGAGAGTGGAGGACAAGGAACTAGGTGTGCTTTGGAGAACATCAAAAGACTCTTCACTGAGGTGTCTGTGACACTGGAAAACTCTGTCATACAGAGATTACACCAGCTGGGCACAGTGTACAGCTTTCTAGGGGAGAAGACCTCCTGCTTTACACTCCATCATTGCAGCTGCTGCCTTATGGTATTAACTCTTCCTCAGCTCTTTGTAGGGAGACTTCTGCCAGATGAGAGCCAGATGGCTCTGGGTGTAGAGAGTGGGTTGCAGCAGCTGGTGAAGGCTTTTTAGTGCACATGCTGCACTGTAGCTTCCTGTCCACCATCACTGCATTCCTCTGCCCCCTTACCTGTTAAAACCAGATTCTTCCTGCTGCACAAACAGCTCTCCTTTAGTGGTATCCTGTCAAACAGGACTAGCACTACTGGCAAATTGATGCTGCCTTTGGTACGTAGTCTTGAAGAAATATGTGATACAGGAGCAACAGATTACTCTGAGCTTTGCAACTGCCCTGCCCTCCAGGAAACATAACCAGTGCACAGATTTGGAGGAGAGTTGCCAGCAATATATGAACATAACTGGATATCTTAAACCACACACCATGTGGCAATCTTTTTGCCACATTACCCAAGAATTAAAATGTTTGTAGGTTTTGACATTGTCTAGATATTGCAGGGATTTTTTTTTATTTGCTTTGCATATAATTTCTGCAATAGCCTTGAAGTCCATCAGTGTTGTCGAATTGTTTCTTTTTCTCCATCAATCTCATGGGTTAACAAAACATCCTCGTAATATTCCTAAGATGTTTACTGACTGAGCACCCAGCCCATAATTCTGTCTGGGTCATCTGTGTGACTGAAAAGAATGATGGGAAAATCCCTGAAGCCTGGACCTCTCAATCCTATACCCTGATGATCTCAGCTGTGTCTTGCTGGAGGTGTCTCGCTGCCTCACCTGGGAGATCCCAAACCCACAGATTCATTTCTACTTTTTTCTCTTCATTATTGGCCACAATGTTCCCAGTTCTTTCCAGCAGGGAAAGGTACAGCCCTTTCCCAGCAGAATTTGCAGTGCAAGGTTACAGCATGTGTTCTGTTTCCTGGTAAGCAGCACAACCAAAGTGGACCTTCAGGAAAGGGTTGCATGTGGGACCTTGTGCATATGCTGTGAGGGGAGCAGACTCAGAGGAGAGCATTGCAGAGAGCGGAGCGATACGAACTGAGAAGCTGTCAAATGCACACTTATAAGCTGAAATGTTGACAGGGCAAATAAAATTATGAAGAAGAGTCAGCTGAGAAAGCGCAGAACTGTGAAGAGCTTTCAGTGTAGTGCTCACAAAAATCTTGAATTTTATGAGAGAAGAGCTGAGGGGACCTGGAAGAGAGAGAGATCCAGTCGAACAGTATAAAGTGTGGACGTATTTCTTTCTGTGTTTGGAGACCTTTCAATGCTTTGCTCTCCATGGATTGGAAAGAAACCATGGAAGGGTTTCAGGTTTTGACAGATATCTGGCTGCATAGAGATGCAGGACGGAGAATGGCAGGGGAACTGCAAATGCAAGATGTGTTTGAAAATGTCACTACCTGCTGATTTTTGTGTTCATAGAGTATGCTGAGTTGGAAGAGACCCATCAGGATCATCAAGTCCAACTCCTGGCCCTGCACACCCCAGGAATCACACCGTGTGCCTGAGAGCATTGTCCAAACACTTCTTGAAATCTGTCAGGCTTGGTGCTGTGACCGCTAGTGTTGTTTGCCTTCTAGATGCTTCTGAATATCTAGCCCTATAATTCAGCTAAACCCTAACCCTTCCTAACTCCAGCCATCGTTAATACAGGAAACCAGTGATTTGGAGATGCTGTCCATACCCAGATTTTCACTCTCTCCAGTGACTGGGGTTTACTTGATATTTAGACTCAACCTTCAGCTTGAAGGCACAGTTCTGTGGTGAAATGGAAGTAACAGCATGTTTTTTCTGTGTCTTCTCACAGAAGTGGAAGATGAAAGGCAGTTTCATTCAACACTTTGTCAGTGGTCTCTGCCTGGAAAACAAGACTGGAAGAGTGGTTACCAACCCTTGTCAAGCAGGTGTACCTGGCCAACAGTGGGAGCTGCTACAAGCAACATGATGGTAGCCCAGAGATCTCTTTGTTTCTTTGTGCATGAGACTTTGGGAACAGAGGGGGATTGGAAAGGGAGGAATGGTTTTGTATGTCTGACCCTAAATGTTTTCATTGTGCCCATCAGTAAGCCACCATTTCAGCTGAGCACTTGGTGTTTTTGAGCCTTTCAGAGAAGAAGCTGAGGGTGAGATGGATCAGGAGAGTTGATGAAATCTTCCCATCTGTTGTCTTAAGTTCTCCTTTGTAGCTGATGCCCATGCACAGCTGCACCCTGAGATGGGGGAGGACCCATCCCAATACTTGGAGAGACCAGAAGTACCTTGCAGCTGTCCCTATCCTTTCCTTTCTCTGCATCCAGAGTCCATGGCCTTCAGTCCAGCAGCTTAGGCTATGCTTGTACCAACATGGGTACTCTTTGGCTTCCCTGGCTTTTTGCTCTAATGTTGTGCATCGTTTATGTTCCTTCTCATTACCTCACTCTTTCAGGGAGGACTGGTCAGAATAGTCATAATGATGAATGGAGAGGCTCAGAAAGAACTAGCAGACCTTGGGAACATGTTTGTCACCTCTGTGGTGGACCCATTCCATCCTTTGCCCACAGGAGCTGCCTTACAGCCAAATGTGCTGAGGCTGGCACAAGCTGACAAGAGAGATGGAAAAGGAACAATCTGTTTCAGCAGAATCACCAGTGATTGTTTTGGGGACTATTCCCTGTTGAATTCTTCCTACCAGCTTTTTTACATGTGGAAGGCCAGCCCTGCCTCCAAGAGTGATCCCAGCCTACAATTTCAGGGTACCATGCTCTCATGGAACCAGTCAGAAACAGGTGCCAGCACTTTGGGATGTCAGGGAAGTTGGGACTGTTCTCTGGTTGTTCTTCCTGGTGTTACCAGACACTGCCCACTCTACCCCACACGCACAGAGCTATGTGGGCAGCACACATAATGACACTTCATATGGCTCAGGCCTGTGGCAGGAACCCACCCAGTTCCCACTGTGAGAGGCAGAAGGGCACAGCCCCTAGATCATAGCAGGCTTCCTGCTGTTGGCTCGGCAGGACAAGCTTGTGAGCACAGCCTGGCATGACAAGCCACCCAGTTCCTCTGTCTAGTTGCTTTTCCCCCTCTTTCTCAGAAAGAGGAGGCAAAAAGGCTTGTGGCTTCCCTACTTTTAACACCCCTCTCTCTTCCCAGTAAGCACCTTGGGGAGAGGTTAGCTGGTGAAGCCTAAACTGTCCCCTGCACAAATGCTGCCACAGTGCAGACCCTCCCCTGAGAGATCCCTCCTTTGTGTTCTGGAAATACCAAAGACACTGGTACCTCTAGCTAGCATCCCAGTCCTGCTCCCAGTTATCAGTCAGTCTAGCTGACTGGGTTTTCAGACCTGCCAGGGGACGCTTACCTATTCAAATAAATAAAAACTTTCCCACAACCTTATCTTTTTCCACTCAATCTGTTAAATTTTCCTCTTGAGCTAGGTTTTGAAAACCAACTCTCTTTTCCAAGAGCCTGACAGGGGAACCAGATGGTAGGACCACCTTCATTAGATTGCCTGGATCCTTTCTGATCTGGTGTAGAAGAAACAGGTTCATCTGGATTCTGGACAGCTGTCTGCTTTTGATCATGTTTGTACCTCTTTTTAATTCTTTATCTTAGCTTGGTATTAGCCCAAACAGTTGACAAAAGAACAGATACTGTTCTTCATACATTGCATGTGCTCAGAAGTGCTTGTGTGAGAACTGGACAACGCTTTTTGTTCTTGGTTTAAAAAAATTAAATCCGTCATGTGGCAGGAGCTCTTTTCCTGTCTCCCCCTCCACTTTGACATTTGCTCACTATCTTGGCACTGATTAGCTAGAAGAGTGATCTGCCTGCACTGTGAAAACTCATGAGGGAGTTCCTTTTGATCAATACAGAATAGTGCAACTGCACTTCTCTGTTGGAATGGGGGCACTGACTCTGTGGTGATTTCTCTTTCCCTGTATAGAGATGCTTTGGGTTGGAAACACCGAGGTCAGGAGAGAGCAGAGAAGGAAGGAAAATAGCTTAGGAATAGAAAGAGGGCGGGACAGACAGATCCATCAAAGGGAGAGATGCCATCCTATTAGCTATTGCATTTTTAACCAAGAATATACGTGAGATGCTACTCCCAGAATGGCATCATTATACAGTAGAAGACAGGAACAGTCAAATTCTGGTTTGAAAAATGTTGATGCACAGACAGATGACGGACCATTGAGCAGCTACTGTATGGATGCTCTGTATACAATGAAGTACAAAAGGATTATGTATTTTCATCAAAATGTATCCTATGCGGACCATCTGAGCTTCCCCCATTTCACTCTCCTCAGCTTAAGGCTTGCAGCTAACAGCATGTTCACTCCTCCACCAGGTACTGCTCCTTCCTCCTTGCTCCCACTGTGTGTGCGGCTTTCTTGCAGTTCCTTCTTCATAACCGTTCTGGGACTAGGACCCAGCTCTCTACAAACAGTTCTCCTGACTGCTGCAGACCACAGAAGCTCTGCTTATATACAGTCTCCAAGCTCTGGGCCAGGCCTAATTCTAAGGGCTCTTGTCAGCATGATGGCTACTGCCCTTGACTCTGTGTTTGGCTCCAGTTTTGGAGGTTACTGACTGCTCCTGTAGCAGATACACCTGGGCTAGCTGTGTTGATCTGTACCTCTCGCTACTGCTCTCCTCCTGACAGAGTGTAAACTGACAGCCATTTGGGGCTGTGAGCTGGCCTTGGGGAGAAAGGGGAAAAAGTGGACATATGCTAGATGTCAATAACTCAAATTGCTTCTGGAGTTATGAGTTAAGAAATGTAACTCTACCTGTTTTTGCATATGTTCTCCTGAGGTCAGCTCCCCACTGCTCACTCTGCTGTCAGCCAAACCATTGCTTTATCTAGACACAGACCTCCCCACACATCATCTTTTGGAAGCCATTGGTTTCCAGTGTATTTTAGCAGTTGCTGAAATGGAGGTACATTACAAAAGTCTGCTTTCAAGTGTGGGCAAACTGAACTTCTCCTCAGAATAAACAAAGTCTTGTCCAAATTCCTTATTAGCATACTTTCCATTTCCCTTACACTGAAGGGAAGGAAGAACAATGTTATCTCTGTTTTCTTCTCCAAGGTCCATGCAGTGCCATGTTTTGGAACAGGACTGTGGTAGAGTCCCCAAATTTGTCCCAGTGTTGTGTTTCTTTAACAGTTAGAACAAGCAGCTGCTCATTCTTGTTTTTCTGTTTATTTTAAGCAGCCCCCTAGACTGTCAAGACAGAGCATTTGCATTGGTAATGCCTTTAAAGAAGACTGGTTTTGTATCAGAACATCCAATGTAATTTTGTTTGCTGTGAACCAATGGGGGTTTATTTAAGAGGAGCTGAAACTACTGTTGTACAGAAATCAATTTCAAAAGGTTTATTTTCCTCACTCACTTGTAAGTTGCTCTTTGCCAGATGTAATTTATGTGGAACCCAGATTTGTTTTCCTTTTTCTTCATAAAGCATGTGCCAGAATCTGTTTAATGCCTGGAATAAAATCCATTTTGAAACAAGTGTTTCAGCCAGTTCTTATTCCCTCTAACTTCCTCTAATGCAAAAAAAAAGAGCATCCTTTCTTGCCTGGTCTCCTACTCTGTCTCTCACTGGGTTTGTTCCCCAGACATGAATACCCCAGTTCTCTGCATGGGTTCCTGGGGTGCTTCTGGAGGGATACTGCTGGAGCTGGCAGAGATACTTCTAGGATACAATGGCATATCAGTTGAAGAGGACTTAACAAGTCCTTCTCAGCTAGATAGGCAGACAGATATCCTTTCTGGGGATTAATGGACTGACTGACACACTGAAAGAAATAGCTGAGGGTGGGGAGAATTAATTCTTCCTGTTACTTGATCTTTTCCTCGGGCTATCAGCCTGCCTGTTTTTTACATAAGCCTCCCAGAGACCTTACTTCTACCTCTGGCTTGAGGGCAGAGAAGCATCACCACCCACAGATGCCTCCTTGAATGTGTGTTGCTGAGCCTCAAATACTGTAATTCCCCAAGGAGGCTGAGTAAGCTTTCCTAACCTCACATTATTTAAAAAAAAAAAAAAAAAAAAAAAAGCCCAGCCAGAAATGTCAGTTGGAGACTTTAAGTTTAAAACTGGGGATTAACTGCCTGCTAGGCTTTTTCAAGCTAGGATCAGCTGGGGCTGCCCATACAGAAAGCAGCTAGAGCTGCTAGAGCATATGTCTCAGGAAGAAGAGACCTCAGTGAAGGTATTCTGGAAGTCAGCTGGTGTGGGGGGAACCAGTGCTTCCCCAGGGAGCCCAGTAGTATATCTGGTGTTTGAGTGCTGTGTGAACTCAATAAAAAGGAGAGGAGTTGTGGCTTTCTCTCTTAGTTCTGCCTCTGTAGCAGAACATAATTGGACTGTGTCCCTGGAACCCTGCCATGCACACCCTGAGTGATGATCACCAAAGTGTCCTAGAAACCAGGAGGTTCTCAGGCTGTAATGATGGCTGGGAATACTTTAATTAGTCCTGTCTTGGAAAATGATACACCAATCTTCTGAAGAGCCAGACTGGGGGGGAGCTTGGAGGGAAGGAGAAATGAGTGAAGGATGAGTTACCCTCTGAGGAGGATAGGGTCAAACATGCAATGGTCTGACACGTACATGACATCTGTAGAGTTGAGTTTGAATTTGAGAAGAGCAGAGTTTGGAGTGTCTCAAAAGGAACTAGAATCAAGTATGGGGAAAATTATAGGGCTGTAACTTCTTTGCAATAGCCTGGGTCAAGTTTGGTAGATGCTTTGTCTAACAAGGCAAATCGTGTGTTATTTGGTTTTGCTGCAAGTTTGTTTGTTTTGTTGTGGTTTGTTTTTTTTTTTTTTTAATACTCAGATACTTCATTTTAGCATTCACAAAGCAGATTGTTATCTTAAAAGTAGAGGTATTATCCAAGCTACATTCAGTAACAAATCTAGGTACTAAGAGACCATCTTTTTCTGCAGTCTGTTAAAAGGGAATTGCTTGATACACAGACCTTTTGGGAATGTCTCATCATTCTCAAAACCCTCTGCTGTTGGGCTGCAGAGTGTGTGGAAGGGGATAACTCTGTCCCTCTAACCGGACCTCTTCAGCCTTTTAGAAGTACGTACTAAGTGCAGAAAACCTGACTGCTGCTCTTCCTTTGGGCAAGCATCCTAACATGCTTCCTTCATCCTTTCTCTTCTAGTCTCCATTGCTCGGTGAACACATCTGAAGAGCTCCTGTATCCCTCTCCTTTAGGGGACCTAAGATTCATTCCTTCAGTGTGACTTGTGAGCACTTAAAACAAAAGCAAAGGAGCCCTGGAGAACTGCAAATATTGTAATTAGATGTTTAGATATACCTAAAACCCCTCTTGTTTTCAGTGTGTTTGTTTTGCTGCTAGAGTAGCAAGAACCAGCAGTGCACTGCCCTGTGAAAGTAAACAAGATATTTGCAGCGTGCTGGGCTTCTGGCTCTGCTTCTCCAGTGGAGAACTCAGTGCCCACGTGCAGGCAGGAGGCATTGCCCCTCCATCACTCTGGTAAGTTGAGTGCAAGGTAGCAGCCATCCACCTTTCCAAGACTTTCTTTAAGGTGTTCTGCAAATGCCTGGGATACAGCCCAGAGCTGTGTTAAAAAATGTTTCTGTGCTGCAACATGTTGCAAAGGAGCCACTGGGCAATGGGAGTCTGAGTAGGGGAGGGAAGTGAACGATCCTTTTACTTTTTTGACTGATCTGCATTTGTTTGAGAAATGCTGCTTAAATCTCTCCAGTGACTGACCAGTAATTAAACCAGACCAGAACAAGGTAGTATTTCTGTGCTGAAAATGACACTGGGTAAGTGTTCAGACTTGCTATTTTTGAGACATCCCATCTGAATGGAAATAGTGGCTTCTGCTTGACATATTGATGAAACTTGTGCTTTACAAATCTGAATCATTAAGGTAAATCCAGCTTCATCTGTACTGCATGGTGAAAAAAAAAAAAAAGAGAAAGAAAAAGAGAAAAGATAACAAAAATAATCCACCTGGGACAAAATCATGGTTTTAATATGATTTTGGTGGAAACCAGCTTCTCTGGTTTTGATTTCCATGGAAACTAGTACAGCAGCACTGCTTACCACTGCCTGCAGCAGAGCTGGGCTTGGCAGTAACAACAGCAGCAGTGCACTGGGTGATGAGCTGGCCAGTGCCTGGGGGAGGCACAAATTCATGACCATGAAGTGAACAAAATGGGTTCACTGACCCAAAAGGCCACCCATGGATCCCTCTGCACCTCCAGATCTGTCTCTACTTTCTTTTTCCAAGGGTTTTTCTTCCTGAATTTTGTGTTCAGAGCCCAGGGGTGCTTTGCCTTCTCCCCATCTCAGTTTCAGGTGATGGATGTATCTCAGTATCCCCCTCTCTGTAGCAGCCTGAGCTTCTTGTAAGCATGGTGGCTACTGCCTCCTGGGGTGGTTTTGAGCTCTCACAGGCTTCATCCCAACTCTTGAGATCCCTTTGCACCTCACGCCCTGGCATGTCATGTCACTGCCCCACGGGGCTGCCATGGGGTCTCCTGATGATTGTTTAGTTTTAGCCCGCAGACCTGTTGCTGTCTGCTATGCTGAAGGCTTCCCTTCAGCATCAGGGTAACCAGAACTGGCCCTGCAGCATAGCTGTATTTTGGAAGTTCCTACAAAGGTTTCAAAGAAGTGGGATAGCTGCATGCAAAGCACAGAGAACAGCTTATTTGAAGAGGTGATATCTTTTTACAGTTCACCAGACTGTGTGTGTATTTCTTTACCCACCTTGTTTCCCAATCTTCCCAACATATAATGAGGACAAACCAGAAATCATGTCAATGGTGGTATATTTTGAAGATAATGGCTTGCATTTCACCCTTGCTGAAGAGAAGCAGTGTTGTTCCCAGTGCTGTGCCAAACAGAAAAGCAGTGGAAGGGGAAGTGCTGAGATAGGTATGAAGACACACAAATGTGGCCATGGTTTCTAGACTGGAAAAAATGGGAAGATGCCTGATGAGTGCCTTTCAGCCCAATCAGTAGTAGAGCCTTTCAGCCCAATCAGTAGTAGAGCAACAGGATGAAGAAGAAAGAAATGTGAAAGGAACAGGAGTCTTCCTGTGATGTCTAGGGGTGTTTCTGGGACAACACTGTGCATACACTTGTCGCACTGGGGAAACAGACTCAATCAGAACTGTTCCTGCTTGGACTAAATTCCTGTTGGCTTTAAGAAATGTGAGTGGCAGGGAGAATGCTGCTGGCCAGTCACTGGCTTCATGGCAGGAGCAGCAGTAAAGAGCTGGACAAAAGGCAGGTATGAGACTGAGGGCTAGAGGGCAGCTTTGTGGTTATCCTGCTTGGTATTTCTTCAGCAACAGACACAGGGAAACTGGTAATATAGCATTTAAATCTTGAAGTAGCTACTAGGAATGAGAGAAATACAGCTAATGCTTGAATCAGATTTGCTTTCTGTATTGACAGTGTTCAGGGGATGCTCTGTACAGATCCTCCCTCAGTATCCAGCATCACCTCTCTTCCCCTTTGAAACACCCTACCTATCTCAAGTTAATACACTGTTTAATACACTGATACTTCTCTCCATTAAAATCATCTTAATGACAGCAGTAGATGAAGGCTTGACTATGTGGGCTTACCATCTGGACTGCCTCTGCTGCTCAGCATGCTGCAGGATGGGGAGCATGTCGGTGTTTCAGCGACTCAGGCATGGAGGGATCTATTTGAGGCCGAAGTCGGTTTTTTTCAGGTAATTTCTCAGATTTTTGAGGAAAAGTAGCAAATTGTAGAAGAGACTTGATTCCAAATTGTTGGGTTTGCTCAGCCTGGTGTATTAGGTTTGCAGGCTGCTTTATCCTTTCAGCCAGCCCTTAGTAGTTCTAAGCCATCCCCTGGACCAGGCTTACTGGCATGGGCTCCATAGTGCATCCTGACTGTGGGTGGAGATATTCAGCTGCCATAGGGGTAGCTGGGTTCCTTGCTCTTACCTCCTGCCATATCTAGGATTTCCATGGAGCCTTTACCTCCAAGAGTGTTGTTTAGTCTAAATCACTCAGCCTGTGAGAGCTGATGATGCAGAAGCCATAACATACCTGTTGATGAAAATGGGGAATTAAAAATGCAACAGATGTGGCTAAGTCTAAAAGCATACCAAAGGGTCTTCTGCTTGGGGTGCAATTATGGAGTGTGAATGTTCAGGCTGGGTCTTTCACAGCTCCTCTCCAGGCTTCAGTGCAGCATGTTCAGTCTTTTGTATTTTTTCTCTCTTAAACGCTACTGTGCCAAGATTTGTTGTGTGCAGTTCTTTAACTGGAGACTGCACTGTTACAACGCTGCTGACAAGGACAACCAAATGATCTCAAAGTCCCTCTAATTACCCAAAGCTGAAGTGTCACCTCTGCTTTCTGTCTGAGGAGATGAAAGCAATGTTCAAAGAGACCCACTTAATACCTTAGCATTTTTCAAAGCAATCAACTGCTCCAAGCTTTTTTCACCCCAAGCAATCTAAATGCTAAATAGATATTTAAAATAATTATCATCTCTAAGACGAGGAGCCATTTTTCCCTGCAAACACCTGATGCTCATTAGCAACATTTAACGTGTCACACATCACTTCTGTTTACTCTAAATTTTTGTGGGAGAAGTTTGTCAGGTATCTGCAAATAATGAGCCTATGCTGAAGAGTTTGGGGAAGCCTCTGGAGCACAAATCCTTTGTCCTGAGAGAGAAGGGGTCTGGATTTCTGCAAAACTCTTCCCTTTCCCCACTCCCATCTTCATTTTGATCTTATTAAAAATAAATAGTGCCACTGAACTACACCAACCTGGAACCAGCATAAGCCAGGTTCCCAAATCAGAGATGAGCTCAGCCTGGAGGGGCAGGGTGGTAGAAAAGCTGGCTTCAGCCTGTCTTTGCAGCTTCTCTTTCCCAGGGCAGAATGGGACACAACTGGGACACTGGTGGCTCCTTGCAGCATCCAAGAGCCCTTGACAGGACCAGCAGCTGCCAGCACAGCTGTAGCCCCTTTGCCCAGGAACCTCTCTAGCACATTCTGAACTATGAATCCCATGGGGCTGCTGCAAGGCTGGTAGAGCAGCTTTCTCACCACGAGCAGAGTGTCCTGCTGGGGGAAGTCCATAGGAGGGGTCTGCTCACTGTACCTGATACGGCTGTCAGGAATCACTCCCACCCGTGTACCAATGCAATATATCAATGAAGGAACAGACTCTTTGGGAAACTGGGGCTGCTCAAGGTGGATCTGTTCTTAGTTCTGCCTGCTAAAGCTGTTCTGCTTTGCAGCTCACATGATAATAAAGCTTGGTTTGATAAAGGATGTATGATTCTAGCCTGGTGGTTGGAGAGCTTTGTATCTTTGCAGCATGGCCTGGAGCCTGAGATTGCTTCAGGAATTACTTTGCATTTTTATTCAGTAACCATTTAATTTCAAGCTCATAAACAGCCTTTGGAACAGTGCCTGGAATGCAGGACCTTCCTGCAAATACCCCAGCTGCTACTAGAAAACTATAATTACTTTCACTCTGGTGCAGGCCATCCTCAGATATTCCATACCAAGGATTTCAAAAGAGCCTCACCATAAGACAGTTAGTATTTTGGCCTGTAATCCTTACTGCCAGCCCCAGACAAGCCTTTAGAGTTTGGTGAAATAGAGAAAGCGGTGACTCTTATTTTTCCATTTATTTTCACTGACTGTGTTTGGAGAAGGCTTATCCAATCAAGGAAGGGGGAGGAATGCCTTGTTTATGAGTTCCCTTAGTACTTACTCTCAGAGGTGCCTGAACACAGCTGAGACTAAAACGCTTCTGGACAGGTGTTGAAACAGATCCTGAATTGTGAAGACTGAGATGTGCATATTTGAGGTGAATCCAGCTTTGGACAACAGTTTAACAGAAGCTTTTTGGATTCCAGTGTGAGATCTAACAATTCACATTGCACCTACACCCTTTGGATCTGGGCTTTTGGACACTGTATGTTGTCTGGGGTACAGCTGGAAAAGAGTCTGAAATCATCTGACTTTGAGTGCTATGTTTTGGCTAGGATGCCACAGATACTTTCTAAAGTTCTTATTCAGATGTCTTATTTGAATAATACATGTTTTGTTACCACAGGGGTTCTTATCCTGTGATATACTGCAAACAAGGCTGAAGGTCTCAAGTGAGTGGAGTTCATGGGACCCTTTGATGGGTGTACTGTGCATGGTAATGCTATCATGCTATGACCTCTGTGACCTCAGCGCCTCCAGACACCATGTTTGTTAGTAAAAAAGATCATAAAATCTCAAAGGGGTTTTTTGGTGTTGCTCAGAGGAAAAGCAAGCACTGCTGTAGGAATTTCCTCTGAATTAAATAGTAATAAAACCTGACCTGGAGGACTGTGAGCATGTGTGAGAAGGGTTACTTGGGGGCTCTCCCTCATACCCCAGGGTCCCCACCACCTGATCTGTTCAGTCACTTCTTAATCTGACCATAATCCCAGCAAGCTAATGAAAGGGAAGTGGCAGGAAAGGCTCAGTGCCTGCTGCAGCAATGAGTGACCAAGCAGATCCTGAAAGCTGTAAAAGCTTTTAAGGAGATCAATATTCCCTGTGCACTCATTTCTAATTGAGCTTTATTGCAGTCTCTGATTCATGTAGTTCATTAAATGGACTCGGAGTTTCTATAACTAAGTTTATACTCCTAGGGCATAGGATCAAAATAGCAGCAACAAGCAATTGCCAAGGCCCCTAGAACTCATCTGGAGAAGTAATTGCAAGAGTGCTGAAGTATTAGATTTCAAAGAAGCGTGGATATGGTTAAATCAGTATTATTAATTACATTTAACTTTACAAAAAAAAGTTATCTGCCATGTTAAGAGTGACTTTATAAACCACCCAGTGCCATGAAGTAGGTATTTCAACTAATTTGTAGTACCAGTTGCATTCTTGGGGCAAGTATTTTCTGAGTCTTCATGAAGTCCATGAGTAAGCAGCTCCTAAACAGTAACTATATCAGCTAGAGTTACACCATCTCCAGTTCTCTCATTTCCATGACACTCATACCCAAAACACCAAACTCACAGAAACAATGAGGAAAATATGTACAAAATACTTGGAAAAAACCACTACATATTGCAACTCCTTATCTACCTTAGGTCTGCATAGACACTTTCATCTTCCCTACAAAACATCTGTAGAAGATATTACGTAAAAAGAAATAGGACACAAACCCCCAGTACCAGAATGCTTATGTGTATCTGGTCAGATACAAGTGCTACACAGCCCATTTGCCTGGTTCCCTCAGTGACACACACCAGGTATCTAAGGAAAAATGTGAGAACAGGGTGATTGTGTGGTGCTGCTCTCCCAAAACACTTTCAGGGCCCTCAGTAACTTCTGATGCATTGACACCCTCAGCCAGTGCTGCCATCCTTGGATTTAACAGCCATAACAGTGAATAGGAAGAGGGTGTGTTTCAATTCCCTGAGGATCCTCTGCATTAACTGATTAGCACTGCTTAGTTAGGGTGAGTGTCAGTTTTTGATGGAAGGTAGGGCAGGAGATACCAGGTAGGTCAGTGCATGTGTGAGGAGGGAAAGGGGCAACTGGACCAAAGTGTTGAGCTGGTATTGGGCTGGGACTTGTATTTTACTCTGACATTACATTACCAAAGGAGAGTCTAGGCAAGTCACATAGGTAGTTTTTTTCAATCTGAATTAGGCATCAAATACCTTTGAGGCTGGACCTCCATTCTACCTGCAACTAGATTTAAGTGATGTCTAACTTCTAAAGACAGCATGCCTCGAAGTAGTAATGAATTTTCTACAGGAACAGTTTAAACAGAGAAGCTGGATTTACAGAGCTTAAAATGTTTTATTTGAGGTGTCTTTGGGGGCAGGTGGAGGCTGATAAAAATTCTACTGGCTTCTACTCCCCTACAAGAGGAATCTGGGCCTCTAAGTGAGCTGCCTACGCATCCTGCACCAAGGGAGAATGGGGTCTGAGGAGTGGGACAGACAGTGGAGCCAGCATGCTGAGTAGGGAGCTGCCTAGGTTATACAACATGCTAACAAAATGTTTAGTCCGTTAATTATAAGATGGAGGGAGGTACCTATATACCTCCTGGAGCTACAGCTGACCTGATTTGGTGCCTTTCTGCCAAGAAGCAGAGCAACACAGTTTTGTGGTTAACGTAGCTCCTGCTCTGCTTATTTCAGAGAGGCTTTGAGTTCCCTGGAATATCCAGGGTCAGTGTCCTCATTAAGATCAAATACTTGGTTATTCCCATGTGTTTCTTTCTCAAGCTTTCTAGCTGAAGTTATTTCAATTTGTACGAATACTTTTACTTGGAGATCATAGAGGCAAGGAATAGAGTGATCTACAAACAATTGTGTTGTAAACACAAAAAAACCCCACATGCCATTTTAGGAGGCAATAAAGGATTTATTTCTGATTAAGAGTAAGGAGGTATCATTACCACAGTACTAAAGACAGGTAATCTTCATTTAGAGCTGCAGGTGCAGTTGTTTCATTGAACTATGTTCAATCAAAGACAAACTTAGACAGGAAAACCTGCAGAAAACTGCTATGATGAGCAGGAAACAAACATAAAGTGGATAGAAATTGAAATTAAACTCACTTGACCCAGAATCTAGGAGGATACTAGTGAGCTGAGAAGTGTGTTCTAGAAGAGCATTACAAACCAGGCAAGGAAAGCAGCATTGTTTTGGCACTGGTTAAACTTCCAGAGATGATGACAATGGAGAAGAAACAATTCTGGATTTGAGAAATGCACTTCTTTGAAGAGAAGACTTGGACGCTGACTCAGCTTGCTACACTTTGGTTAGTGCTTCTACTGCATTCCAGTGGAATAGATGTACAGGCTAAGAATTACCTCAGAGACCAAGTTAATGTGCTGAGAGATAGAGATTCTCCCTACCTCCACTTCTGTCCTGCTCCGAGCCTGAGAGCAGGCATAACTAAAAATGAAATTTAGAACAAGATTTATGTCTAGTCCTAGCTTCGTTGATTTTCCTCTTTCCCTTGCAAGTACATTACTGGGTACTGCATTAGGATGCCTTTGTCTCCAGTGAGATTTGCAGGAGACTGAGGTGGAGGCAGAGGTGTGATTGGTTTTTCTTCTCCATTGCCACACGTGGTCTGCTTCTTACTTTCTCCGGGTATTTTGCAATGTCCTTCAGCTTTCCCTAGCAGTGTGTTACAGAGTCCTGAGGCCTTTTCTCTCTTACACTGATTTTTCTTTTTTAATTTACTGAGGGCTGGAAAGAGGGGGGAGTATGGAGGGTTGCATCTGGGTGGCAAGTCCGATGACCTCCAGGGACTAAACCTCTGTGACAAGGCATTATTGTCAGTGTCCCACGTGAACCTTCATTCATACAAAGAGAGTATCAGCACAGAATCAAATCTGTTCTGCATTCTGCCTTTATCCCTGGGGAGCAGCTGCACTTTCTGTAGCCTAGTGAATATTATTCTTGTGTCACCTAAATCCCCTCATGGATACTTGATGTCCTGCCGTTTTCAGCACTGTTCTAGGTGACCCAGGGAACACTGAGTTCAAGTGCCTGCATGAAACTGGTCAGAATAGGAACTCAAAGCTTAGATTTCCCATTTTTCATTATATGGGATGTTTCAATAGTGACTCCAATAGAATGGCAGATAATTTGAGGTCTGGAGCTTTGTTCCAGCCCATCTAGTCAAATCCTGCTCAGGGTGGGTCTAACCAGATCAGATTGCTGTGTCCAGTCAGCTCTTGAGCATATCCAAGGAGGGATATTCCCCAGACTCTCAGGGCAAGAGGCTTGTGTTGAGTGTGTGTGAAACCCAATCCCCTAGGTAACTAAGAAGATAATAAATTAAATTTAGGAGTCTTAGTTGGGAGGACTATGGAGGCACTGCAAGGGGTGCAGAAGCAGATCAACTAGGGTGTGTACAGAACTGACAACAAAACCCTCGCTAATGCTCCACCATGCATGGCATATGCAGCATGCAAGTTTTACCTGCATGTCATTGCAAACTCAGCACAAATAGTTGGAATAAAACCTATGAATTGGAGCTGTGCCCAAACATCATTCAGATAAACTGTTCCTACAGACATAGTTCAGATTACAGAAAACTAATCGCTAGAATCCAATGTTTTCCTATAACAAATCCAGACAGGTCTTACTTTATCTTTAATCCCTTTCAGACACAGTGAGGAAAAAGCATTTATTAATAGGTGAGAATAGAGAGCTGCCTTGCACTATGTAAACCCAAACACCTCCATTCACTGAATTTCAGTGGCAGATTAATTCCCTTGCTATTGCCATGAATGGTACATTATATTTGGCCAACACTAAGTAACATTATAACAGACAATACATTCACTGTAGAAAACCTGAGAGAATTGACTAATATGACAGAGGTGTAAAATAATTTTCTATTTCAACAGATTTACTCTTGCAGTTTATGTACAGCTAGTACAAGTTAGTTATCATTTTACCTTGAGACAAAAGCTGAAGTCAACAGTTCTGGACTTCAGAGGCAAGTGGGTACCTAAGGCAAGTAGCTCAGCTGCTCAGTGAGGCTGAGAAAGATGCTGAGGATCTCCAGCCTCATCCATAGACTGTCTCATGCTGGAGAATTGCTAAATTATGCTCCTTGATCCCCCAAATACTCCCCGCTCCCCCCCAACCTATGATAATAGTAAAACAATTTGTTTGAATGCTCACCAGGGTCCAGAAGACACTTAACAGCTTCAGAGCAGTCAAAAGCAGGAGCTTGAAATTACTCTGTGCTTGTAACCCAGCTACCCTCGATTTTACTGTTCATTACCGTTCTTGATGGATTGTTTGAGTTTTCAGTGTAGCTGAGTTTCAGTACAATCAGGCCCTTACTCAGTGGGGATTGCAAATTTATGTAACTGTTTATATACTCTAAAGCAAAGCAGCTGGAGCAGTGCATCACAAAATAGCACAAATTGCTCGGCATACAGTAATGAGATCACAACCAGCAAATTTGCAACTTTTTTCTTAACCTTTTCTAATGCAAGTGAAGAATCAGGTGGTTCTTTCAACCTAAAAAATACTGTGGGTAGTCAAGTCTCCTCTTGCTGTAAACAGGTTTATTAGTTACTAATAAAGATAACAAGGTGGTCTTGGCTACTACTTAGCTTTTCTCCCCTGTACATGACAGCAGCGTTAAGCACAAGAGCCAATGGATCTAACAATGGGGATTGCCACTACCTTCCTGCCCAGCTTACAGTGCATTGTGATGGCTGTCAAGATTTCAGTCTATTTTAAAAGAACATGATCATGGAAATAGCAGTAGACAAGTATTTTAACTACCCAGCTTATTTACCATCAAAGCAGGAATACAAACTCATTTTGCTTTTCACAATTCCCCTTCAGCATACTGAAGGAGGCTGGAGAATGGGATTCCTATAAGAGAGAGATCTTGTTATTATTGTGGTGTCAAATACAATTCAGATTCTAATCTTAGTGAGGTTACTCCCTGACCCAGTGCATTGCTGAGTGGCAGAAGGATGCAGTGGTAGATAAACTGGTCCCTGGTATATATACACCAGTTTATCTACCATGCTTGTTTTTGTTCTCAAAATCTCATGTTGTTTTTTGGTTTTTAAGTGACCAGCTACTCTGCTTGTCTGTGCTGACTGGCAGTCCTGTTCTCCCCTTCCCCACAAGACCCAGTGTCTCTCTCGTACATAGCATGAAGTAACATTATGCCTTTCAACAGCAGGAACTGCTAGATCAGCTCAGCCATCACAGAACTTCACCCTACTATTCAGTGAACAACCATGCCAAGAAATTAGTTGTACTGTTCCAGTCATGTCTCAACTTAAAATCCATAACAGGCAGTCCAGAGACTGTGGGAGGACTTCCCTATTCCACGATAAGCAAAGCAGCAGCATGGTTCATGGCTCCACAAAACAAGCAGAAGTCAAGCAAGCACCTCTGCACTCCTGGCAAATGGATGAGGGCTCACACGTCTCCTTGGCCTGAGGCTAGGCTTGCTTAATGAACTTCGCCTTTAAGTATTTCCACACTTGGAAATACTAGGTCTCTGAACTCCATTCTTCATCCCTGTTTTACAATACTGTACCACTCTCCTGCAGAAACAGCCAATATAATTTCCTTTATCATTTACTCCCACACTGTGGCAGGCATGACCAGCACTGCTACTTGTGCCTATCCTTAACGCAAGAAACAAAAGACAATTTGCTGCAGGCAAAGCACGCATGGGATGGCAGATTCTTTTCTGACATCCTTTCTGTAATCGTGCAATTTTTTATGGCTTTACTTGCAAAATGCTGCTGCTGAGCCTTACTTTTAAAGTAGCTGAACTTGGGTGAATGATCAATATCAAAGTGCTGTCTGATGCCTCTAAGGAGACGTGAAACTGCAAAAAGTAGTAAATGCCCTGCTGTCATCCTTTACTCAGTAGGAGCCAAGAAGCAAACTGGAGTAATTTTTCACCTGGCCTATAGAACAGACTACCTTACTAGAGTGGCAGCCTACTGGCATGTAATAAGTTTCCAAGGGTTCATAACCCTCTTCACTGTATTTCTGAAGGCAATGATTAGTTGGAGACAACTTTCCAGATTCTTCTCTCTAGCTAGTTGCTCATCAGGTAGACGCTGCAGCATTTTTTTCTTCCTTTCATTAAGTTGTTCAACTGCTCAGTTAAGCAACAAATCCTGATGTTTCATGAATAGTTTATCAAGTAAAGTGCAACTCTAAAGGACTGTGGAGAATATCAGCTCAAAAACTATGCACAGAGAGTTTTAACTAGTAGCTTATTTCAGAAAAGAAAAAAAGCTTTGTAGCTGGGTGACAAGGGGGAAAAGAAGTGATGCCCACGTGCCTTGTCTTAAAGTGGCTTACAGACCGTACTTTTTTATCAGCAGAAGGCCAAGTTTGGCTCCAGAGTTATAAAAGGAACATTTACTTGCATTTTCCAATTCTGTGAAAACTTCAGTTACTGAGATGACCACAGAAGTTTGTCTGCTAAAAAAACCAAAGTGAATTAACCTTGAAATTAAAGCTTGCTTACCTTCTACTTTCCAAAAAACTAAAAAACGTACCTTCACTAAGTCCCTTTCAAAAAGCAAAAAGGTTTATTACCACCTGCTTTGAAGTACCTTCTTCCTATTTTCTGCTCTAACATAAGAAATTCATATTTTATACTAGTTTACTGGTCTTAGTTTGCAGTTACTACACTAGAAACAAAATCAAGGAAGCTATTTTTTAATCAGACCAAGATTAGATTACCTTTGAAGGAAGAGCTACTTTGTGTTCTAGTTCCTGATTACTAGGGATTCAGCATGCTCCTTGCACATTTCACAATAAGGAAAGAGCCCAAATTGCTGCTTTTCCTTGAACTGAAAACAAGTTCACAAAATGAGGAAAATATTAAATCACTATTTCAAATATGATAGGTACTGTCAAGGGATGTTTATTTGGCTTAGCTGCAGTCTTTGCAGTCAAAGACTGCAAAATTTAGCTCCTTGAATACTCCACCACGAGAATATTGGAATTTTTACCAAAAAAAAAAAAAAAGTTAACCTCAATCATGCTAGGAAAGACATATTCAACTATGTGCTATCCAGGAGGATAAGCTATGCAAGCTGTTAAAATAACATTGCTTATATTAAACCAGAATGCTATTATAGGGGCAATAGCAAATTCTTAAGTTATTACTTACTCTGTCAAGCTAGATATAAAACTTCCATGCCAAAGTATTTACAGATTTAAGTAACCATCAATGTATCACTATTTATTACAGAGGAAGCATGTTTTGATGTTAGCAGATTGAATTTATTCCTGGTCATTATAATTCTAGAGCTAGTAGGTCTAATCTTCAACCTGTATTTGTGTTGAGAGAAAAGTTTAACACCTCCTCCCAAGTATCTTTTTAAGAATTTGTGTCTCTTCAATAATTTGATTCCCAGTCTTCAGCGGCAATTACTTATCACTTAAATTAAGCTATTTTCATGAAAGCTAAATCCTTATCCCTTATCAGGGGAAAGTTGTGAGCAGACTAATTCTGTGAGGCATTACATCCAGCCTGCTCTTATCCATCACCTATCCCAGAGCTTGAATACAAATGCCTCATATAAACATCAAGTGTAGAGTGCAAGAGGGCTGCTGTGTTTCCCAAAATCCCCAGGGATGACAGTATCATGACTAGGCCAGAATTTGAGCTGTTCTGTAATACAGCAAACTGTTGGTTCAGTCCACATAACCTTTCAAGCCCTATTCCTTGGATAATAGGGAAAAAACATTAGTGTTTTTTGGCAAAATTCATAACATTCAGCACTCAAATTTAACCAAAGGGTAGTTTTATTTCCCATTAGGACCATCTCAAGGACATAACTGAATGTTGGAAACCCCACAGAAGGGCACATACAGCAAATGTGGTGAAGTACAATGTGAACAGCCCCAAGGGTTCAAATAAAGTAGGACCATTAGCTAACTGGAAGGAAAAAAACCCAAATTAAATCTCTGCAGAAGATGATGTACTTTCTTCTCCATTTACACTGAAAAAAAGGACAAACCCAACAAAATCCTTGTATCTCTAACAATACATTCAGTCCTGACTAAAGAGTTTATCAAGATGGCAACAGGATGACTATAATACAAAACGTTCACTACTACACTCTGTACACACCTGTTGTCCAAGCCCTCCCCCAAACCCAGGTGATGATGGTGCCCCCATTATTTGCTTGCTTGCTGGGCCTGCCTGCGAAGGAGGACGTAGATCTTCTCCTTTATCCAGTCTTTATTGTACGGTTGGTATGTCTGAGTGTCAGCACGGTAACTAGAAAGAAAAAAAGGATGAATGTTAATCTGCACTGCAGTACATTTACCCAAAGAACTTCACAAACAATTAAGTGTCCTCAAGTGTATGAAGCAGAAAGTTGTGTACAGATCATAACTAATATCAGAAGTAGATGGGAATTGCCACTTATCAAATGGATTTATCCTGTTCCCTAAAAAAGTTACCCAGCAGATCAGTCTGACCCTGAAATAAAACCAGATGTTCCAAGGATTACTGAGTGACTGGATCACAGTGCATCACATTTTAATTCATGAAAACAATTACTTAATGGGAGACAACTAATGGAGAATCTTAGTATTCTAGAGCTCAGAATGAAGAATAGTTCCACCAGGGAACGATCTAATGAGCCAAACACTTCTAGACTCCTTCAAGCATTTATTTAAGTTTGCGAGTGTTCAACTTCTGTTTGGAATTTCCTGCAAATTTATAAACCTAACATTTTCCAGGAGCAAAGGTAGACTCAGATGGATGACAAAGGATTCCTGCCAGTTGGCAGTGAGGACACGCTTGCATCTAACAAGGGCACTTCATAAAAAGCAAACTGAAACAAGAACCCACAAATGTGTTTTCTTTGCTGCTCAGGCATAGTTGATAAAAGCAGTTCCCTAGCAATATTAGCAGAGGCCAGAGAATTCAGGTACTCAGGACACTGCTGAATTGAAGCAGAATGAGACTGAAAAATGAAAGCAATTGCATGAAGTTATCTGTGTAGATTCACGCCCTTCTTTCTCCTTCAGTCATTAAAGTTGAATATTTTGTTCATGAAGATGGTACTTTCAGCGAATGCTTCAAGAACTACTGAAGTCCTAGTCAGTCTTTAAATCTTGGTATACATATTTCTGATGAGGTAAGAAAGGTCACTGGTAAGAAACTGAACAAAAATCTGAAGTTAACCCAGAACAATTTACAGTTCTTACCTAAAGGAAAACACCCTAAGCACACTGTTTCTAAGAAAGCCTTGTTATTTAAACCCCAGCATGACTTGTTCAGGACCAAAGAAAGAGTTTCAGTATATGTTGATACAGCAATAGTTCTTGTGCAGTAGAAGAAATATTAGTTTCAGGAAAAGTTACTGGTTTCTATCCCCCACCCCCCAATCCATTCACAGTGCTACATCACAAGACCAGACAGCAAGTACTTCAGGAATCTCCATGAACACAGGACATGTCTGATACACCTCGTGCTATGTGTGCCATCTGGTGGAAAACTAAAAGCTGATGTAGAATTTGGCAAGACACTGAGTTTACAAGCCTAATTAACAAAAGCACAAGACTGTGCTAGAGAACAGTTGCTACCTCCTAAAGCAAGTGGCAAGCTTCAGTCTGTTAGATAAACTGTGGTTTTCAAAACTTGCATCAGCCCAGCAACATGACACCTGAAAATCAAAGGTGGCAGAATGTCTAGGGTCAAGCTAACTCTGCAGAACCTGTAAACCCATTTTACCTACTCTACTGAAAAAGTTAGCAAATGGCATTTGTAATAAGTCATTATCAGTAACAGATTCTGTACTGTACATCAGAATACAAAGGAAAACAATCTGATGCTCAGGTTTTTAAAATAATTATTCATTTTTAACTGGAATTAACTGGCAAAGTCTGTTCACTGTGCAGCTACACAAGTACTTGCACCAGGATTTCAGCCACAGCAGTACAGCTGCATGAATGTCTAGGCAGAAACTCACTGGCTTAAAAATTTTCTGGAATTCTGAGATTCAAAAGCCTAATACTATGTCTTTAGTTACTTAAATATGAGATTTGTATCCTTATTCCTACAGAATTTCTATAAAGTTGATACCACTGTCAAAACAAACCTTGAAATTTATGGTATGGAAAGTACTCAACCTAACAATAAGTTTTGTTCTGGACAGTGAAATTTACCATTTGATTTCATGGTGCAGTCAGAATGGAAAGTACACCAGATCATCTTTGCTTGCCCACAACTCTGACACACAAATGAGAACTGGAGATAATGTTTTCACAAGAGCATCTAAACAATTAGCTAGGGGTCTCTAGAGGATTCATCTGTTCCTCAATCACTTCATTAGCATTTACAGAAATTTCTATCTCACTGTATCTTGCTTAAAATAAACAGCTGATTGCAATGCACTTGTGTAGACTTCTACTGTACCACTAGTACTGCCCTCAGCTGGAAAAAGTTCTGTAACTATTCTGCCTCCTTAGGAATTGGACCAACAGCACAAAGGCACATACAGCCCCAATTTAAACAGATTCTAGATGTAATAAAATGTAATAAAATAAGCAGCTGTATTAAACTGTTGGATTTCAGTATCTGAAATGCTGTGAGCTTCAGTGTGACTAAAATCCAACTGGAATTGTCATTTTCTAAGCCTTCCTTAGAGATTTCAATGCAGTTAAAGTGGGCAACGTGTTATGGCAGCTACAATATTGCTGCACTACAGTTATTGCAAAAAACACTCAGATAGAACATTTAAGAGTTTAGAGGGAAGACTTGTGACTTCCCTGAGTCAGTGAAATGGATTTGTACAAATGAACTTACACGAGACAGCTGAGATCTGCCAAGTCATCAATGAAGTCAAACAATTGGCTGATATCGTATGTAATGGATGGACTGTTGGGATTCATTCTCTTCAGATGTTCTTCATACATTTTACAGACTCCTACAGAGAAACAAGATTAACAACGCAATGTTACATATATTCCTACTGTGCAAACACTTGAGAAATAGAAGAACTCATAAGAATGATCATTGTTGATCACAGAGTCAAACAAGGCTACTGAGGTAAGAGTGATAGCACAAGCCTAAATAGTTTTAATTAATTTAAATCAGTTTTATTTATTTAAGGTCGCCCACAAATAGTTCAGATACATTTCAGAAGAATGTAATATTAAAGTGAGCATAGAGGCTTTACATGGTCTTTATTATGCTTTTGTTTGCCTTGCAAAACTTCCTGGGACATTAACGTTAAGTTAACTACAGCTCTAGTCTATCAGTCTTCTTTCCAAGCTCATTAGGTGACTCAAAAGTATTGCAGGATCTTTGCTCTGGCACACACACCAAGAGGCTGTAAATTAGGTATCATTTGCACCCAATCTTTCATTTAATATATTATATCTAGTAGTAATCTTCCCTGTACAGTGCTACCACAGAGATTAGTGAGAATTAGGTGCTGATCCTGCAATAAAATGTACTCAAGCAGGTCTGCTGCACAGCCCCACCAAGAATATTGCGTATACTCTCACAAACTGAATGTGGCTTTATCTAGTTAAATCAAAAACAGATATTGAATATAAAAAGGAAGCTCTAGGAACAAATTACAACTAGTTTTTCGTTTGCTAGAACATTAGAAAACTAAAAGCATGAGACACTTCTCCAATTATTTTTTTGTGAATTACCTTTGAAAAACATGAAGAGCAACTTATTTTCTTACTAAGTTTGACAGTATGTTAAAAATAGTAGTTAGAAACTGGTGCTTAAACCCCATGACTTCACCCACCTTCCATGCATTCATTCACCGATTCATAATCAGCATATGTTCTGCCTTCTGGCCTCTTGGTAGGCTGGACAAGTAGAATTGTGTGAGACTGAAAAACAAAACACCAAGAAAACAGGTTACTTACACAATTTGAATGATCTTTTTGTTTGATTTAATTAATTTATCTGAAGAAAGCACCAAAAAGAAGCATAATATTAAAACAGTGAACTAGCAATCAAAGACACATTTTCTGAACAGCATTTACTATCCATATAAGCTGAGTTAACTTTTGTGTTTCCAATCAGTCCTATCAATCCTTACAGAATTTTAAAATGTGTGATATCACCAGTAAAGCAGCTACTGTGTTGAAAAAAGATACCATAGAAATAGTAGTTTCTAATTAAGACACAAATACAAAGCAATAGTCAATGTATAAAAGCTATGGCATTAGTGCATTTACTTATTCCAACTGCAAGCTGTTAGTAAGATTTCAAATGCCCAAATTAAAGTGCAAGGAGGGGATCCAACTTAACCACATCGTCAATCTCACCGTAAAGATTTTAACAGCACAGCTATTTTTAGTTATTTAATTTAATTTCAAGGGAACACAAATTATACAACAAATCTGCACCTAGTATTCAAGATTATTTCCTCCAAAACAGATGTACTGGGTTTTCAGACTTCAATGAATTTACTGAAATAGTAATTTATGGCACAGAAAACTGTTGTAAATGTCAGAGTGCATAAGCTTGTTCTTCTGCAGGGAAGACTTAGATGACTTAGAGGTACACTCTGTGACTTCCATTATTTCCATAACATTTTTCACTTGGCTATAGCAAGTAAGTTGAGCAAAGAGTGAGCAAGAATTTTTGAAGTGTACGCAATCTGTGATGTAATTAAGAGGTTGCACAGCACAGAAAGTTTGCAAGCACGCTGC